TTTATAGAGCGCCATAGTTCATTTCTACTTGTAATGATGCACTTGGTCTAGTTCTGAGTCAATGTTTTCACAACGTGCTTATTAGAAGAATTATATGGATACGCCACGCCTTTCGCGCATTTCGCGGCTCATGAGATATTGAAACACCTCTACGTACGAGTATAAGAAAGAGCGATATTAATAAATTATGCTCACGTATCGGTGATAAGTAAGTGCTAACGACCCGCTCTGAATTAATTGTTTCTAATAGGCATCGTTATCCGAGGCAAATAATACGGTCGGAATAGTTTCCAGTCCAGGTTGGACATCCAAGTAATGTGGGGTTCCAAAAATAAATACTCGGATATTTTCTTATTTATTTCCGGGAAAGTATAATAGATGATTATTAAGAATATATACCCAGTAAACGGTTCTAAATTTAGTTTATGGAGAGCTCACTAAAAGAGAAAGAAAGGTCAATAGTTATTTGATGAAGCGACTCTATCAAGATTTTATTTATTTTTATTTTACTTACTTCATTTTCATGCTAAATGCACAACAGTGTATACACGAAAAATAATTAAAAAAGTAGGTACTTATCCAGTTACAAAATACAAATTAAAATTGTATCTTTTAAATGTCTATGATATTGCATGATAAACCTAACTTTTAAAAAGATGGTAAAGATGGTCGCTAAAGATGGTAAGTATAAATTGAAGTTGAAATTACTCCAGAACAACACTAAAACCGAACTACATTCTACACAAACAAATAATTTTTAGACTGTTGTTACGTTTAATTGTGAAATATTTAGGACAAATTATTAAAATAACACTGATTAAGTATATGCATTTATCTGCATACATATTTATTTATACCTTCAGATGGAGCAATGCCAACATACAATCTTATGATGTTGTGAAAGGCATTAAAGCCAAGGTCAATGTCACATATACCTACCAGATAACGATTACATTTTTAATGAACACAAATCTCTTCGATAACGTCTTTATATCTAAAGCACCAGTTTTTAAAACCTTATGGCATGGCTGAAATTTGTTCAAATTTAAACAAACAAGCCGTAACTACCCAAAACTGGACTTTCATTTCTTATGAAACTGATAATGGCTAACGCGCAGCTGGCAACTTGGTATATTAAGTATCGTACATCTTACTATTTGCGTTTTTTTTAATGAATAAGATGAGCCAACAACTTCATACATTTTATTTCTCAGTCGTACCAGTACATGGTGGATTAAAGGTCACGTGGAACTCTTTGTCTGAAAATCTTGTTTGAACGGCCTTCGAACAAAAATAGAATGTTTAACTAATATCCTTATGACTGCTCTAATGTTAGAATTGAAATAAGGAAACTCATTTTTCGGCTGTCTTAGGTAGCAGCATTGATTTGTTTGCATAAAAAAAATGTCTAATGTTGTCACTGAATACTATTCTACAATGAAAGATAGATAATACGAGCCAAATCACTTCAGTTTACACAAAAATTCATCATAAATATTAAATTTTAAGCAGGTGATGAAAATTTTACATTTACTTAATTTATCCATTGAAAATTTTATTAAAAATAGCATAACAATGTTTGAAATGAATTTTTTAACAATAACGAAAAACAAAATAATGCATCCCATTTGGATAAGCCAGTATAGAATGTCGGAAAGATTGGCAAATTAGAACTTTTAAAAACTCGGCATTTAGAAAAAATTTACACAACTTCCCCAACAATCCCCTCCTAAGTTATTGAAACACATGTTTAATATTTACCCCTAAGAAAGTTGTTATGAAAATAGCAGCAAAACGTAATGCAAAACATTCATTAGCAATTTAACGAGCCAGCCCGTCAAAAGGTCATAAGAGTTCGGTCAGAAACATCAAAGGGATTACCGAAAGTCTCTAACCCTTTATCGTCGAGTGATTCATTCAGAGCCTTTATCTACTGCCCCCGTGGGTTATTTGTTTATGATAATACGATATACACTGTCAAATGTAGCGTGTTCCTACACAATACCACTTCAGCAGTGCGGTACGACGTAACGACGTAAACAATAGTTGGATACTATTTATTAAACAATGACAGAAACAAATTACAATCGCAATCTTGTGGGTTTCGAGTAATAAAATAAACAGCAACGGGACAAATCGTGACTGTTGCGTAGCAAAGCGGACTATTTCGTAGCGCTAAAGGAGTAATTTGCCGACAAAGACGCGTTACGGGCCACGAAATTGAGCGAAAGAGGTTTTTAAATATCACGATTTGTTGGGTAAGTACTCGAAAAAGTAGTTCAAATAATAAAAATATCCCTGTCAAGTTTTAGTGTGTTATTTAGTGACAAAAATTGAAAAATCACACTTCTTAAAAAAAAGGGAAAAAAAGAGTAATCACTAACTCGTGTACGATGCATTAAAATTTGAAAAATTTGACTTTCCGGGTCAATTCCGAACACCCTGTAGGTGGACCAATGAACGCTGTAAGATATATCCATAAATTGGTGGCAACCTTACTCAAGAATAAGTGTAAAAGACACCACAAACAAATAAATGTTTAATTACTTTTTTTTTAAATCACAAAATGTCTGGCGGCACATTGTTGGGGGGTGGCAAATTGTTAACGATTTCTGCACCGATGTTTTAGATAGAATTCTATAAATTCAATGATTTCACAATGATAGAAAAAAATGGAAAAAGTCGTCATTGTCAGATTGAGCGGTTTGTTACGAGTTAGATAATTTTTCGTTCGTTTACCATTACCATTTCAAAATTTTGACGGCTAGAAACTTAATTGACATTTTATGGGTCTGATATTTGCCAACATATATCTGAAATTTCTAATCATAATTTTATGAGTTACATTTAATTTGTAAAAAGATATTTTATTTTATTACAACAGATTCTAGCTATTAGCCTTATTTATGCCTATAAGTTTGGTGGATTAATCTGGCAACATGGCAGTAATTGAATTGCAATAGATTATATTCCAAAAATTACTACATTTAGTACTAAATTAAAAATTTTCAACTGATGACATAAAAACGGATATTTTAATTTTTGTTAGGACTTAAATGAAAACAGAATGAAAAAACCAAAAATACAGACGTCATATTTTTTTCGTATTTTTTAACCTAGTTTCATTTTGTGACGTAGTTAAAAAGTTTGGAAACATTACATATATTGTTTTAAATAAAACACCCCATACATTTTTATATGTTTGGGGTGTTTTCTTACGTTACAACAGTGATATAAGGTTTGATCAATTTTCGCGGGACCACCCTGTACATATAAAAATTGACGACAGGCAATCGATACCACAATAGCAGCAAGGTAGAGATTCACATATAATGAATGTCTTCAATCTCTCGTAATGGCAGACAACGGAAAAATAATCAACGTAATATTATTTGCGCCCGTTATTTGTTTGTTTACTTTAGCCGAGTGTAGGTTCTTTGGATAATGGACGCTTCGTGTTTCGAAGCAGTCGATACTCATATAAAAATAATGATGACAAATAATCAGATAAAATTCTGTACCTACGACATAATGTTTGAGTTAAAAGCACAAAAGTATAGGATAGTGTAAGTTGTAATATGTGGTGTAAGTAACTTGGACTGGAACAAATTTTCCCAAATTAACATGGCAGTCGAATTTTTAAAAGCTCGCTTTACTTATATCTTGGAAGCTATGTATTTTGGAAAAATATTGAAGAAAAAAGTTTTAGGATTGAATTTTGCACAATATACCTTACTGTAATTTAAAAATGTTTAAATTTATTACCGATGTTGCAAAACAGCAATAATTGATGAAGAAAAGGCAAAATAATGAAGTTTTTTGGATAATTTTTTAAAAATATTTTAATTGATCCGAGGGCATTCTAATTTTGGTAAAAAAACTTTAAAGTATAAATAAAGTATTAATAAAACAACACACCAAATTTCATTAAAATCGGTTGGATAGTTTTCGCAAAATAAATTTTTGAAAAATATTTTGAAATTTTTTTTTCAAAAACCATTTGTAAGATTAAGCGGTCTTTTCTATGTGAAAAAATTTTCAAGTATCTAGATGCTTTATTTGAGGCTGTGCAACATTTTGAAAATTCGAAAATTTTTTCAAAAAATTATTTTGCGAAAACTATCGAACCGATTTTAATGAAATTTGGTGTGTTGTTTTATTATACTCTAAAGTTTTTTTTACCAAGGTTAGAATGCCCTCGGAACAATTAAAATATTTTAAAAAAATTATCCAAAAAACTTTAATTTGCCTTTTTTCCATCAATTATTGTTATTTTGCAACATCGGCAATAAATTTAAACATTTTTAACTTCCAGTATATTGTACAAAATTCAATTCTAAAGCTTTTTTCCTCTTCAATATTCTTCCAAAAGATTCCAAGATATAAGTAAAAAACTCTGATAAAATATGTATTTTTTTAAATTTTAAACATTTTTTGCAATTTTGAAAATGTTCTGGACCTCGCCCAGGTCTAGGGATCTACACTTTTATTATGTGAGTTGTACTGAAGGTAATCCAGAAAAAAATTGTTTGCCCTCTCTCATATCCACCTCAAAACAGGTCTGGTCTATAATCTAAATCCATCATTAGACATTATCTTAAATATCTGCAATTCTGATGACGAGAGCTATGTCTCCTGAAAATCGGAAAATTATTCAACAATTGGCAGTCGCCTTTCTAAGAGACATTCATGATTAGGAACATAACTCAGAATTTTCATTACATTACTACTGGCTATCATGTTCTAACATGTCGCTATGGTAGTGCTGATAGCACATTTATATAACTTGAAGGTATGGTTTCAAATGTTTCGATATGCACCACCCACACGATACGGCACACGTTTACGTCTGACATTTATGTGTACTTCGGTAAATCTACACACATGTTGTCATTTGTATTTACAGCTACTAACTAGGATCACTCTAACGCGCAAACTCTCGCAAATTATATCATTTGAAGCGGTAATTTCGAAGTTAAATATTTTATACAAAGGCTCACCTGTTATATATCCTGCAGGTGGAGTTATTAATCCTTTTATCGCTGGCGTGCCTCCTGCGGTCCTCGAACAAGTCTTTCACAGCCGTAACACCGAGCACGAACATTACCGGGATCATGGCCACCTCTTTACCGAACGCGTTTATGGCCGGCAGCCAGTTGAGCAACACTATAAAGATAAAATACAGGTTGGCCACCCTGTGGAACTGCTCGAGCAGGTTCCTGGGCAGGAAGGACAACAGCGTGTACTTGGTAGTCCTGATTTTGTTGTCCGGCCGCCTGCCGTTCGGGTGCTCCTTGCGGGGCGTTTTAGGGGGCACCGTGTGATTCGGAACGACCGTGCGGTACCGCTCCTCCTGCTCGTTCTTGGGGGAGCGCCGGATCAGGGCGCACAGTATCCTCCTCCAGAGGGGCGGCGGCGCCGTCCTCCTCAGGGTGTAGATCGACTCCGACCTAGAACAGAGAGAAAATTAGAAGTCGAGACGCGGCAATCTCGGTTCTGTGTAGTTAAATTTTGAAATTGTTTAATGAACCTCTTAGATCAGTCTCCACATGACGTCATACCCCAAGCGAACCAATTTAGGTTTACGGCTATACCGTGTCTGTTGTCTTTGTACCGTGGTATTTCGGCTTGTCATGTAAGCGTCCCAAACAAACAAACAAATGGAAAATAGTAGTAAAAACACTAACCTGGAGGCCTGCCTCGAGTGTCCCTTCGCCGAACTCCTCGGCGCCGGCCCGTTGGCATTTTCCAGCTCCTTGTAACCAGGTGGAAGAATGAAATCTGTCTTGGACCCGACCCTGCTGTGGCCAGGCTTCGGCCCTCCTCCAGAGTCGGAAATCTGGCCCTGCGACAGCGCCCTCTGGTGGCCTCGCGCTCCCTTCATCGCCGAGCGACCGACAACTCCGGCCGAACCGCTGCCGCCGCCCAAGGAGGTGCCGCCTCCATGGCTGACGCTGCGGAGATGACCTCTGACTTCCGGAGAACGGATCACCTCGGGGAAGGTGTACGTGGAGCAGTGAGCGTTCGATGGTTGGGTGGAGTTCGTGTCGGTCGGTGGATTTATGGCTGCTTTCTCTGCGCTAGCGAAATTCGACATCTTACTGGATCTGTAACGCAATTTGAAAAAAAAAAAAACGTTTAGTATCGTTGAATGCTCAGGGCCAAAAAAGTTAAATGTGAATAGATTACAATTAGGTGACATTATTGGCCAGGGTCGTTTTCATAAGGCCCATGTCGGACTATTAAATAAAAAATAGAGAGTGATAGAACATCAAAAATTAAAACGTTATTTATCCTATGGGTCACGGATCTACGTATTTCGTTTTTGAGATAGCCTTTGATTGCTGTGAAAAACTCTAGCTGTATAGGGTGATATCCCGAAAGTAAGATCGAGGTTGTGATAGACTATGTTATAACCGAGTGGATCAGTAATTCTGTTTTCTGAATTTAGGAAATATCATGTAGTGTAGTGCTGTACATAAGTTTAAATTCGAAGCCGAGATACTTGTTTCATCAGCAAGCAGCATATTTTATATATTTCTTCTTCAAAAATTCTTGGCAAGTCATTTACATATACTGGAAAACATAAAGGACCCAAGACGGAACCCTGGGGTACTCTAAAATTTGACTGTAGACAATTAGATATTATTCCATTGTAAACGAAACTGTAAATTACAAATTAATGGCTAATAGGTGGGTAATATGATGAAAATTACATAAAAAAGTAATTTCTTCCATAAAATGTCATGCAGCACACAGTTAAATGCTTTACATAGATTCAAGAACTGCGGATGAACATATTTCTTCAAATTTGACATAAATGATTTCTACTATTCTATTCTATTACATCATATGTCTTCTGTGTATCAAGTTAAGTTGCCATACTTTCAGCTACTCAGAAATAATGAAACAGAAACCAAATCTTTTATTAAATTTGAAAACGAATGGTCTTAGTTTTTCTTAAACTATCATCTTCTGGTTTTATGACCATCACAGCACTGTACACCTTGTATAACAGAAAATATAAAATAAAGTCAACAACCAGCATAATTACTTTTTTATCGTTTTATTGGAATTCCTCAAATATTGAAGCATGAGTGAGGTAGAAGCTACAAATTAGGAATTTATATTACGTGTACATTGGCTATTCTGTCATGTCCTATTGTGTGGCTATATTATCAATTTATCTAAGTCAGGTTGCAAGGTGATCGAAATTGTTATATGACTAACTTGGGAGCGTAAAAACAACAATGACAAAATACTTGTTAAGTATAATATCAAATCTTTTGAAAAGGATTCTGAACAAAAAATATTTGGCACCTCTTTGTCAAATCTTTGGCACAACTTTGGAAAACCGAATAAAAGTTCTCATATATTTAGAGGAATAGTATAATGGGTTATATATTTACAATGGAAATCCTGCATGCATTAAAATTATTTTTTTAACACCGCATGTTGCGAAAGTTTCCAAAAACCTTTTTCATCAAGTGATAAGAAAACCACACCCGATATTTAAGTAAATATCCACGATAAGTTTCTCAATTTATGTCAAGTTCACAGGAAATTTTCCAATAAAGGCGTTATTTAATATTAAGGTATCCGGGAAAAAAACATGTATGTATACTTTATATAAATTATCAACAACGATATCTTTACACAATTGTATCAGAGCAATAAAAGTCGAAAGCAATCGAAAAATTATTTCATATCCACTTCCCAGGCAGCGAAATGTGACAAAATCAGTTTGAAAGAAATTGTTGCAATCGTAAGTCGGACCATGATGTCATATTGATCTCACCATTCGTTAAAAGTAGGTTTTTAAATTAACAACGTAAAAGTTTATAACAACTGTGCTCAAGGTTCGGTCCTTGATGCGGTTTGGGAATGATTGAAAACTGCCAGGACCGGCTTAAAGAGACATAAGCAATGACGAAATAAGACAGCACCAAAACAGAAAACAAAAAATAAACCTCGTTAACTTAATACATTAATTTCATTAAAAATAAGTAAAATATTTCATAGAAAGTAAGAAAGAAGTTTTTTTCTATACTCATATAGGTATAATTTTATATTGAATTTAACTCAAATTGTACGACAATTTATTAACAATTTGTTTAGTAACCAAACTTTAGTTGTTTCCACATAACAACACACGCACTCTATTGAAAATTGCCAATGCCATATAGATGACATAAAGTCAAGTAAGAATAAAAAAGCTTGCACACAATGTGGTTGTTTATTCTTTTGACACTATGTTTATCTATATTCTCTAATGTTTAATTTATCACTTTTGTATATAGACTTTGTTGACCCAAACAAGGTCAATTAATAATTTTCTGAACTTTTCAGAGAGGTAGGGATATTACATACCGACATTTAATAACTAATGAAAGACACATTTGTAAAAAATGTATGCTGGGAACAAAGCAATTCGTTCGTGGAATAAATTTCGCCCTCATATGAAATGCAATTACGGATGTACCTACCACGTGTATAGGGGAGCCGAATTCGCCTTTTCCATGAAATAAAAACACAGTTGTTCAAACTAATGAAAGGAATGTATTCTACATATTTATATGTATGTATTAGAACGACATATCACATTTAAATTAATGAAAACAGTAGGTAACCCCTTATAAAATTTATTATTTTTAAAAACGTTTTCCTTGCCAAAACAATTTGAAGCACTTGAAAGTCTACTTTAATTAATTTATAGACATTCTGGTGCTTAAACAATACCTTTGACGTCTTGTACTGACCTTTTCACGATGACGATAATACATATTTAAAAAAAGGGTCAGGGACAGTAGCAGAATCTGTAATTAGTAATTATGTTGAAATCAAAACAATGATATAACATTTCGTCTTGAGAATATTCATAATTCTTTTACTAAATTTGTAATTTTAGAAACTGACTGCTGAATATTTTCATAATAGGTACTGATTTAAATATGGAAATTTTCAAACTAAACATAGCAGCATAAAATATCTACAAAAGAATGTAATATTATTTTGTTATTTATATATAAATATTAGCCGGAATTACGATAAGGCATTTTATTATTTCACTTTTTCCTTGTTGGAATGACTCAAATACATAAGCATGTAACTGAATAAAATTTGAATTGAAATTTTTATATTTGCATTTGTATCTTTACTCTATAATCAAATATAACCGCAATGCACGTGTCATGTATAATTTTTAAAAATATGGTTTATCAAGGAAAGAAAGGTTTTTATTTTTAAATAGAGATAACATAAGGAACATAATAATGTTACATAGGGATCTGTCTTACGTTTTAATTATAGACCCGACGTAACTGACTGTAAATTGAATATTAGTATTGATATTTTTCTCAAATTATGATTTTCATAAAGAAATAATTACGATAGAAATTCAATCTCTATATCACACGCATATCTATTCGGATAAGTAATCAAAATTACAAAATCTCATCTCGTAGTTGTGTGTTTAATGTTTAATTAAACCTATGACTTGCGAAACCAAAAAGAAAAGGATATAAATTGGAATGTTGTACACATTAGTATATTTACGTAATTTTTTCTTGATGTTCTTCAGCAAAGTTTAAACAAATCATAATTATAGTGACATTTAAATCTTATCAGCTAACAGTGGCAATTAGAACCGAAATGAAAATGAAAATATGATTCTGATTTTACTTTTGAAAATAAAAAATAAATAATACTAAAGGTAGAAGAGGAAAAATCGCGGGACAAATGTAACTTATTAACCTGTGATTAAAAACACACTTTGAATGTAAGTATGGATAAAAAAAAATCTTTTACAAACAGGCATTGAGATTAAATTCACATTTCAGACATCTTATCAAATAACAATAAACAAGCCACGCACACAAAATTTGAAAGATATCAATTTCTATTGAGATAATTTTTGTTATAAGTATAATTTTTTTTATTATATGAGATATTACATTTTAACTAGGATTCATACGCAATAATTTTATGAAATCCAGATTAAATATTTAGGTATTACATCAAAACAGATAACTAAAAATTTTCTGTAAATCCTGTACAATAACAATCCACTCTATTTTATCAATGAAGATATAGATAATTCAATTAGCTATACTATTAATATCACAAATAAACGAGCATTTGTGAAGAAATACATAGAAACATACTAAGAAAATGCCTGAAAATAAAATAGATAAACATATTTAAAATTCCACTATGGAACATAAATAATGTAAGATTATTAACAAAGATATATGTCAATAATATGCACTCGTAAGAGTCTTTACAATTATTTACATCCTAATTTTTATAAGTGACTATACCCATCGTCCCATCGACTGCTAAATCGCAGCTCCCTTAGGTACTTTTTATATAGTTTTTTTTTTCAAAATTATGCAAGTATAGAGTTAGACTCTAAAGAAAATGTTGAACCTACCTATTAGGCAATATCATCTCGAATAAAATGAAATTTAGGTATAGTAAAATGATATTTTGTTTAACTAGTGATCGTTTTATATACAGTTTAGGCGTTGTGGTGAACTACTGTGGGTCCTGCATTAATTATTAATATAAATTAATCAATCGATAATAAAACTATTATTTATTTTATACAAAAAAAAATGTAATTTACCAAACTCTCTAGGTATTATAATATTAGTATAATAACTGCTTCATAAAATGAAACGATTTGATTAGGTACAAAATCATATAAGTAGAAATATTCATTTTATATTAAAAATAAAATATATTTCTCAAGTAAAATCATAAAAAAAATGATCACATGACAGTAGCAACTGCAGTTTATTCCACTATTTAGGCACCTATCTATTTAATTTTTACCTTTGGTATTTTTTGAAGTTGTACTTATTGCATTTATGGAATATACCTAGGTCGGTAATTAAAAAATGACTTATTTCAACTGAAATTGGAGAGTATCATATTTAAAATTCCCTCTGATACACTTTCTCAAAACTTCGTGTTCTGTGCCCAAAAGGGTATTTTGAGAGATGCAAGTGTGTGATAAGTACTTGTGGATTCTGCAATATTTTTACCTTTTTTTCTCATAACTTCTTGTAACTGTTGATTGATATATGTTCCTTGCAAAGCAATTGAGACATAGGTACACTAAATTAGAAAACTAAGTCACTACGCGTGAAGAACCTTAAAAAAATATCCGTACCATATACCGCACACCGATATCGCACACGTCGAACTATTCATCGCATCTCTTTCTTTACTTGCTGGCCATCCACCTCTCAAGCGTGACGCGCAAGCGCTGAGCCTTGTCTAATAAATGTCGCAGATAACTGCCAAAACGCGGATTAGCCAACTTAAAGAAAAAAATTAGAAAATATATATTTATTAAAAAGAAACTATTTGCTGTTGAATTTAGTTATATATTGTGTCGTATGATTTATGAGGAAGTTATAGTTAAAAAGAAATAACTTATAGTGCATCTGTTGGAAGGATTGGAATAAAAAATTTTTGCGCAGTGGTTGGTAATTTTCCCGTTATAAAGTTGCCTTGCTGTCAATTTCATAGTGACGTATCACTTCTTTAACAAAAGTGGGCCGTCAATCGGTATTTCACCGTCAATTAGTTAATTTATTTGTTGATTAAACGCCATGGATGAAGAATACGACGCTATTGTGTTGGGCACTGGCCTAAAGGAATGTATTTTAAGTGGAATGCTGTCTGTGTCCGGTAAAAAGGTTTTACACGTCGATCGGAACAAGTACTACGGCGGAGAGTCTGCTTCAATTTGCCCTCTGGAAGAACTATTCGCAAAATTTGGTGTCCCAGCCCCAGACGAATCATATGGACGTGGAAGAGACTGGAATGTCGATCTCATTCCCAAATTCCTTATGGCCAATGGTTCTCTCGTCAAATTGCTTATCCATACGGGCGTTACACGGTATTTAGAATTTAAATCGGTGGAAGGGAGCTATGTGTACAAGGGAGGAAAAATCGCCAAGGTGAGTGTCTTACTTTTTTTAATAGTTTTACCGAACATTACTGCAGCTAAGCTAATATCTTTCATTATGCGGTAAAAATGTCCAAGCAAAATTTCTAATGAGCCATATTTAGTGAGACTGTCAAATATCTAGATATAGACCTTTTTGAGAATATTTTTTATAAATAAAATTTTGGTTTGGGAAGTCAATTTATTCTTATAAAAATACTTCAATACTTATTATTTAATATTTCACTTTATTAATCAATGACATTACAAATTTGAGTTAAAATGGAGATGAATATAAAAATAATATCAATGTGAGATAACTGTAATGCTGTAGGTACAATATTATTCATATTGTAGATATAAAACAAATTGGTTTTCTTTGTTATCTGTGCATTGCAGAAATACTTGAGAAACGCTTTTACCTTTTATAATCAGAGTTGCGTAAAATTTATTAAACCATGAAATTTTTACAGCTAGTTTCAATTGATTTTTAAGGAAAGAAACATTTCCGTAATTGGAAATAAAAAAGTATATTTACGATAAATGTTAATTGTTAAAAGAATTAAATTCTGTATCATAAATCATTTATCATAAAACAATTTTTGTCTTCATTTTTCCTTTTGTGTTCATATACAGGATGTCGGTAAATTCTGTACATATATTTTAGGGAGTGGTTCTATAATAGGTATATAAAAGAAGACAAAATATGTGAACTTAAAATGGACTCTTATTCTGTTGCTTATAAACTGCATGCTTACTTTCTATACGGGATACAGTTTTGCAATTTAAATTACTTTTATAAGATATGTTTTTCATGAAACAGGCAATCAAAAGTTTAATAATATAAGTTGCCGCAGTGGGGCGCCACTTGGCTATTTGGTTCAAATGACATTGGACATCAATGGATTAAAACTTCATAATTTTTTTCCCAAAGACAACTAATGATTTTAGAAATATGTCCAAATTATTCCAAATATTAAAGAATAAATAAAAGTTACAAATTGTGTTTGTAATTGTTTCCAAAGACCAACAGTTCGATCAATAAATTTATCGATAATTTGCACTAGTGCAGGATTAATTTTAATTTCATTGGTTCAAGGCAGTAATAAGAAACTGTCATTTCTTTGTTTAAATATCAGATTTAACTGGTGAATAAAATTTTAAAAAGATAACACACTAATAAAATATTGAGTTGTGATTTTTTATAATTTAGAGATAAATTAAGTAACTCTCTATTACTTACACTACAGTCACAAAACCTGTTTTACATGTATCAGACTTTTACGCAAATTGATCAGGAAATTTAAAATCGATCATGATAACAGCTAATCAAAAACTATGCTGTAACAGTCACATAGAAGTAATTCATTTAAAATAAAAAGAGGTGTTAATATTGCAGAATACAATTAAAGTTCGTACTTTTGAATGAATGTTAAAAATTCCTAAAGTAGGCCAATTAAAATCAGTTCCCTCCACAGTATTTTTATTACAATGTAACTTGGCCAATTTTTTCAATAATTTTTTAGTTGACAGCTTGTTAAATGTAAAACGGAGTTTGGATTTTTTTATATAAAATTATTTCCAGTAATGAATTTTGTATGTTTCTTTTTTCTCCGTTTACACGCCACTGTGAAAAAATAATACTTTCAGGTACCTGTCGATCAAAAAGAAGCCCTCGCTTCCGATCTGATGGGCATGTTTGAAAAGAGACGGTTTCGCAATTTCTTGATCTACGTGCAAGACTTTAGCGCAGAAGATCCCAAGACATGGAAAGATTTAGATCCAAACACTCAAAACATGTTGGCGTTGTATGAAAAATTCGGTTTGGACAAGAACACGCAAGATTTCACTGGCCACGCCCTTGCTCTGCACCGCGATGATGACTACTTAAATAGGCCTGCAGTTGAAACAATCAATCGCATCAAATTGTATTCCGACTCTCTTGCCAGATATGGAAAATCACCTTATTTATATCCTATGTACGGTCTTGGAGAGTTGCCACAAGGTATGTGATTTTTTTTTATTGTGCAAAAAAAAGCAAAATTGAAAATATTTAATAATGTATAGGGCTAAATCAAAATAATAAAAACGTTTCGCATTTTATTTCTGTTACAGTATATTCGAAATATTCAACTGAAATGCAAAATATACATGACATTTTAAAAACTTGCTTTGCATAAAATTTTAATATATTCTGAATAATTTATATCGACATTTCTTACTTAAAATTGTACCGATAATGCGTAACTATAAATTCTATTGCAAAAGCACTGTTATAAAATTTGCTTTTTGTACGTTCGTAAAAATATTTGTTCTAAATAATAATTATACACCTGAATTGTTGGCAAATAGAGTTTACTGGCTTAAAAGTTACAGTTATAAATCAAGGTCATTGTTTTCTTGTTGAAGTGTTATGTGTCCTGGATATATTTTAATTACGTTAGGAGTTGAATGATAACAAAGTAGGTCTACAATTACTGCAAATTATTTCTTTTAGTATAATCTCTACCTGTGTGTTAAAAAAAGAGAATAATGTAGGTAATTATATTAATTTTTAAGATGGGAAAAGTAAATTGCTTTCATTAGTCTTCATGTTGTATGAAGTGAAATATTAGCATTACATTCGTAAAATAACTAAAGACAAAATATCATGTATATTTAAATATAATTTTTTTTTAGTAAAGAACAGAACGTTGATCACATCCACTACCATCGTAATATTCCTAAAATATTTTGTTCCAGGTTTTGCCAGGCTGTCTGCTATCTATGGAGGAACATACATGTTGGACAAGCCCATCGACGAAATCGTTCTTGGCGAAGGCGGCAAAGTAGTGGGGGTGCGTTCTGGCAATGAGATGGCCAGGTGCAAGCAAGTGTACTGCGATCCAACATACGTCCCAGACAGGGTACGCAAGAAGGGTAAGGTTATTAGGTGTATCTGCCTGATGGACCACCCCATTTCCAACACGAAAGATGCTCTTTCCACGCAGATTATAATTCCCCAGAAACAGGTTGGACGCAATTCCGATATTTACGTGTCCTTAGTGAGTTACACGCACCAGGTCGCCGCTAAGGGTAAGTAGGTTTTTCAGAATTTTAGTAAACTGTCGCAATTGATGTCCCAAGTTTTTTTCTAACTTATATTTTTTTTAAATATACAGTGTGTCTACAAATTACTTCTAAGAAAGGAGAAAGTTTTGAGATTATTTTTTGTTCATAAAAGAATGTTACTTTCCAGACAATTTTAATACTGTCTTTAATTTTGTTTTTTGACCCGTTTACTGGTGTGTGTGTGTGGAAAAAAAATATAATTGTCTTCAGTTTATAATAAAAATATTTGTCTAAGTTTGATCTTATAGGTTTTAAATCCCAGTATTGATGTTAAAAGTCAAAAAATAATCGTCAAATAAAATTTCGACTCTTATTTATGATTCAACAGCTTGGGAACGTGTATACACAGACATCTCTAATTAATGTCCACGGACTTAGAAATTTTTTTTTATAGCTTGTTTATTCAGCTTCAATTTCCTTTCTTTTAATTCTCGATACGACCATTTTTCAACAAAATATTGGACTTCTAATGAAAAAGGATCCTTTTGTTTTCAATCATCGATATCTTGGCGATAAATGGTCATATGGAGAATTGAAGGGCAGTTTCAAGGGCAAAACTGGAATAAATTTCCTATAACATGCTGCCGCAACTTTTCGGAAAAAAATATCTTTTATACGAATTTAAAAAAAAACCGGGAAAAAAAGGGTAATTTATTTTTTTTTTAAATTGACGGCTAAATTAGAAATATTTATGAAATGACAAATGTTAAGCATGACTTTTACACCCAGAAGAATCCTGTGTAGTTTCATTTCGATCTAGCGAACTGTTTCTTTATTTCAAACAGTCAAACTTTTGAAAAAAATTAAAGGGTCACGTTTTTTGAGCTTAAACACTTCAGTCATGATTAAAATGGAAAAAAATGTTTTTATTGTGTTTTTCTCACATTTTTACCGCAAATAACGTTTAAATGGATGAAAAAAAAAAAAGAAAATGAAAAAGCCGAATTGTGCTGGAAACAATTGGATTTCGTTTTCTTCAATGTCTAGAAGGTTGTTCAAAAAAACAAAAAAAAAAACGCAAAATTTCAAAAAAATTTTTCGAAAATTTTTCGAAATTTTGGTTTTCATCAATTTAAATGTTATTTGCGGTAAAAATGTGAGAAAACCTGAATATATATATTTTTTTCGATTTCAACCATGATTAGGAAGTGTTTAATCTCAAAAAAACTTGTCTAATTTTTTTCAAAAGTTTGACTGTTTGAAACAAAAAAACGGTTTGCTAGATCTTCGAATTGCATAACTGTAGCTCCTAAAAAATTTCGACTGAAAGATCTAAAAACTAGAATCTTAGAGCTTCAAAATGCTTTTTTTAAATTCCCGATACGNATGTTCATAGTTAGATGCATGTCTCATTCATTTGGTGATAAGGCACATAAACAACATAATTATGTATTATTGTGATGGATTAAATATACCAAACGAAGAAGGGTTGATGTGTATTAAATTAATGCCTACGCCTAAATTAGTAATTCTCAAGATTGTTTTTGTACTTTTTTCAGACGTACTCCTGTGGGTTAACGGAAAGCACCGAGGTTTTAAATTTTGCGCGGATTTTGAGGATTATTTATTTTAGGTTAGTGGCTTATATAAAAGCTTTGGCATTCCATTGTTCTGTTTAGGTTAATTGCTCACACAATGTGTAATATAACTGAGTTTTGTGCAAATGAAGCCCAGTATTTTTTTGCAACACAACAGTTCGAGGAACTCCGGTGGGTCCCTCAACTGCCAACCTAAAAATAAATTTAAAATTTACAAGAAATTGGGTTTTCTTCCCTTCCCAAGTTCCCAACCAGAAAAATATACAGGGTGTATCCCACAAGAAAGCGTCTCTTATACAAGGTGGTTCAAAGTTAATATTTGGATGCGCTATAGAAAATTTGATAGAGTAAGTGGAAAGGTGGGGGTCGTTCTTAAACAATAATTCATCTCAGGGATATTTAATTGTCACGCAGTGCTATACGGGAGAGAAGCGCTCATTTTGAGTGCACGAGTATTACAACAACAATTCCGTGCCGTAGATTTCGACGTTATTTGCACGATGTTCAGCAATGTTCGTAAGTTTGAGAAACCTGGTTCGACATTAAATAAACGCTTCCCCGGCCATCGAAGATTAAAAGGACCGTTGAAAACATCGAGAGAATGAGAGTGTCAGTGCGCAAACAACCAAACTTATCGTCTATCGAGTCGAAAGCGCGTGGCCGCTCTAAATGTGACGAGGTCGTCGGTGTTTCGCATCCTTCACAAAGATTAACGCGTACAAGATTCAGCTAGTGCAAGAATTAAAACCGACGGACCCCGCTGATAGACTTTTATTCGCAAACGAAACGATTAACCGATTTCCAACTGTCGACAACATTTTATTCTCAGATGAGGCTCATTTCCACCTTAATGGCCATGTCAATAATCAAAATTGCAGCTACTGGTGTGAAGAAAACCCCAAACAGGCCTCTGCATAGCCCGAAGGTCACAGTTTGGGCTGCAATGTCGGCATCCGGAATAATCGGCCCATTTTTTTTGGAGGACCATCATGGCCACACAATAACGGTTAATTCTCAGCATTGTGTCGAAATGCTTCAAACTTTTTTCACTCATGTTCTTCAAGAATTTGAAGGATACACTCAAGACACTTGGTTCCAACAGGACAGAGCCACATGCCACACTTCCAATCTCTCTTTGCCCGTCGTTCAGCCGCTTTTTTCGGGAAAATTGATTTCACGATGGGGAGACTTTCAATGGCCCTCCCGAAGCCCTGACCTGACTCCTGTGACTTTTTTCTACGGAGATATCCTAAAGTCGAGTGTACCACAACCGCCCCGCCACTCTATAAGATCTAACGAACAATATTCGACAAGAAATTGAAGAAGGAAAATTTTAGAGGTCAGCTTGAGGAGTGCCAGAACAGAAATGGGGCACATTTAGACAATGTTATCTTCAGAACATGAATTTCCAATAATTTTTTTAAATTAAAAAAAAATTGTTAGAATTGATCAGTTTGTTTTTTTATTGTTTAATTTCAAAAAGTTAACAACTCTCTCGACCATCTTGTATAAACAAAACAGTTTATATACACAGGGTGTCTTAGGAAGAGGTGCCAAGAGAATAACCACACTTTTAAGTCGTCTACAACGGCTTTTTTTTTGACAACCTAGATAAGTTGGATAACTTTTAATAACTACATACAGGGTGTTTCGCATAAGAACCAACACAGAGCAGGAACATGTAGAGGAATGCAAAATATGGTTATTTTCAGATTTTGAAAAAATCAATATCTACATATGGCAAAGTACATGTCACATTGTATAAACTTTGGTCTTAAAATGTACAATTTCCGAAATAGACCTACAAATTCTTTGTAACATCGACAACATGATAATTTCATAAAATTTGACACATTTGGTGCCTAGAAAACCATGTTAGTTATTCTGCATTTCAATTACATGTGCCAGATCAATAAAAAATGGGAAATCTTAACACTTATTTATTCACTTGTAAACAGTAAAAATTATTATCCCTACAACCTACATATATCTTATCATTACTGACGAAAGGAGAAGAAAAAACTTCTCCTGGTAACTGAATACTACTGATTAGTTCAAACGTATCAAAATCTATAACACTGATTACACCAGAATTACAAGCAGTTACAACTATATACTTCCCATTTACTTTACATAAAAAAGGTGTGGACGATATTTCTGACGTTACCATTATTTTCTTGACTAGAACACACTTAGAGTTTGAAATGTTTAATACGTTTACACATTTATCGAAACAGCCAAATAATATCTGATTTTCGTGAGACACAAGTGACGAAAATATATGTCCGTCTGCTTGATATTTCCAAAGCAGTTCTCCATTTTTGGTTTGCAAACAGTGTAAAACTCCTTGAACCGTAGGAAGTATTATATTTTCGTCCGAACTTATAAGACAAGGTGTTCCGAAAATTGGTCCGCTGCAACTTTTCTCCCAAACAATTTCACCATCTTCTGTTAAACAAAAGCACGTTGCTTTGGTAGTTGCAGCGTAGACATTTTTTTTAGCCTCGCTGTATATCGGATTTGCACTTACACTTCCATCTAATGAAGTATTCCAAAGTTTTAAACCTTCCTAAAAATGGCAAGAAGAAATAATTGACTGATCTTAATATAAATTATTATGAATTAATATACAATATTTAAGTATTTACCTTAATCGATACACAATATATTGCGTTATCATAAGATCCAAAAATCACAGCTGACCGTTTCTTACAAAAACAAGCAGAACTCTTTATTTTACTGGTCGAGGAAAACTCCCATACTATGTTTTTCTTTATAAAGTCTATGCAATACATTCTACCATTAGAACATCCTATAAATATAAAGTTGCCACACGGTGACAAGCTGGGTGTGCTTTCTATGGAATCTGGTAAAATAACTTCATAAACGACTTCACCATCACCTTGAAAGACCACGAATCTATGGGAAAAACTGCCCACAGCTACATATATCTTATTCCTAAAAGAAATATAATTCGTAGTACACAACTGTCGCTTTAACTAACACTTACTTTTCTTCGAAAACCAGAGGTGAGCCGTCGACACAAGCTTTTAAATCATATGACCACGATATTTCCANAAAAAATCAATATCTACATATGGCAAAGTGCGTGTCACATTGTATAAACTTTGGTCTTAAAATGTACAATTTCCGAAATAGACCTACAAATTCTTTGTAACATCGACAACATGATAATTTCATAAAATTTGACACATTTGGTGCCTAGAAAACCATGTTAGTTATTCTGCATTTCAATTACATGTGCCAGATCAATAAAAAATGGGAAATCTTAACACTTATTTATTCACTTGTAAACAGTAAAAATTATTATCCCTACAACCTACATATATCTTATCATTACTGACGAAAGGAGAAGAAAAAACTTCTCCTGGTAACTGAATACTACTGATTAGTTCAAACGTATCAAAATCTATAACACTGATTACACCAGAATTACAAGCAGTTACAACTATATACTTCCCATTTACTTTACATAAAAAAGGTGTGGACGATATTTCTGACGTTACCATTATTTTCTTGACTAGAACACACTTAGAGTTTGAAATGTTTAATACGTTTACACATTTATCGAAACAGCCAAATAATATCTGATTTTCGTGAGACACAAGTGACGAAAATATATGTCCGTCTGCTTGATATTTCCAAAGCAGTTCTCCATTTTTGGTTTGCAAACAGTGTAAAACTCCTTGAACCGTAGGAAGTATTATATTTTCGTCCGAACTTATAAGACAAGGTGTTCCGAAAATTGGTCCGCTGCAACTTTTCTCCCAAACAATTTCACCATCTTCTGTTAAACAAAAGCACGTTGCTTTGGTAGTTGCAGCGTAGACATTTTGTTTAGCCTCGCTGTATATTGGATTTGCACTTACACTTCCATCTAATGAAGTATTCCAAAGTTTTAAACCTTCCTAAAAATGGCAAGAAGAAATAATTGACTGATCTTAATATAAATTATTATGAATTAATATACAATATTTAAGTATTTACCTTAATCGATACACAATATATTGCGTTATCATAAGATCCAAAAATCACAGCTGACCGTTTCTTACAAAAACAAGCAGAACTCTTTATTTTACTGGTCGAGGAAAACTCCCATACTATGTTTTTATTTACAAAGTCTATGCAATACATTATACCATTAGAACATCCTATAAATATAAAGTTGCCACACGGTGACAAGCTGGGTGTGCTTTCTATGGAATCTGGTAAAATAACTTCATAAACGACTTCACCATCACCTTGAAAGACCACGAATCTATGGGAAAAACTGCCCACAGCTACATATATCTTATTCCTAAAAGAAATATAATTCGTAGTACACAACTGTCGCTTTAACTAACACTTACTTTTTTTCGAAAACCAGAGGTGAGCCGTCAACACAAGCTTTCAAATCATATGACCACGATATTTCCAAACTGCCTTTGTTTATTTTTCTCTTCTTCGTGGCATATTCCTCCAAAGTTTCAGCAACGCTCTTTTTCTTCACCAGTCTAATACCTTTTAAGTATTTAATACAATCTGCAAAACTATTTTCAAAAATCATTGTTACTAATTCATGTGGATATTCATATTGGGTAGTTTCTTTAAATTCGGACAGTAACTGTAGGGCAGTTATTGAATTTCCACCCATATCGATAAATTTATAATGTTTTAATTCAGGTAAGTTTTCCGTAGGGATTCCAACATATTTACACCAAAGCAGACTAAAGGTATTTTTATAGCTCTCTGCAATGTCTGAAATGGAGTACAACTTTTCCAATGATCTTTCATTAACTTTCCCGTGGCAAGTTAGGGGAAAATTAGTGACGATTTCTATGAAATCTGGAAAACACCCATCAGGAAGTATATTAATCAGTTTAATACGCAATTTGTCCAAAATTTTTCCTTTGATCCCTAGATCTAAATTTTTCATTAACACGAATGTCAAGAGTTTTGTATTTTTCTGTGACCAGATACATACATTTTCTAATCCTGTCTCCTGAAATATTTTGTTCTCAATTGTCGTTAAGTTTATTCTATGTCCAAATCTCTTGATGACCTTATTTTTACGACCGACCAAATACATTTTATTGTTTTTTATTTCTGCAATATCACCAGTTTCTCTAAAAACTATTTCAGATGCCTCTATTGATGATTCGTCATTTACATAGCAAATTCTTGAAGAACTACCTGCAATATAGTAAACATTCCAAAACTTGTAAATGGTCTCACATCCAAATAAATACCCACCTATAAATATTTCTCCTATCGCGCTAGTTTTCACTCCAAATTCATCACGTAGTTCTATAACCGTCGCATCTAAAGTTTGCCCTATAGGAATTTCATCGTTATGACTCTCATCCGTAATTTCATGTAATGTAGCCCAACAAGAGACCTCACTTATGCCGTACAGGTTAAATATTCTCAGTTGATCTATCCTTTCATAAGACAAAACCCTTTTAGGAAAATGTTCACCCCCAAATGCTAATATTCTGAGTTGGGGATTTTGTAAAATTCGCATTATTTGATCTTCACTCCAACGGAGAAAAACCGAAGGAACAACTTGAAGGAATGTAATAATTCCTACAGTGAATAATGCCTCATAGAGTGTTTTTGGGTTAATGTAGACTTTATATGGAACAATTAACAGGCATGCCCCACTCCGCAGAGCTAATATTAGTTCTATAATAGACGGATCAAAAGTTAAGCTTGTACCCCAGAATATCACATCCTCTGAATTTAAAGCAAACACTTTTCTGAAATTGCAATATAAAACTTAAGATGCCTAAGTACACAGGGTGTCCCAATATTCCGTGTACCTGGAAATACCACAGATACTATGGTAAGGTCAAAATATTATTTAAATTTTATTATCAAATATGCCATATACACGGAATACCGGGGACACCCTGTATATAGTTTTTTCTCTGTTTACCTTAGGTGAGATGCATTAGCTTCAATGCAAGTATTTGTGACCCTTATTAATTTATTCTCTCCAGTACTTCCAGAAGTCTGAACTACGCAAAATATATTCTGGAAATTTAAATTTGTAGAAAACGAATCACTATACTTCCATAAAATTAAGATTTTATTTTTTAACGTCACTCTATTTACTTCATGAAATAAAGGAATTTCCTTGATGTTTTCAGTTGACAAAATCCATTGCAATTTTAGAGACATATTTTTAGCAAGACTTTTTGACGTTAGAAACATAAATGTGTATTTTAATTTTTGTAAACTGGAAGATAATTAGAATAATATAGATTCCCACAAAATAAGGTAAAATCTTACCTTAAAATAATGGAAGGAATATATATATTGTGCTCCATTAACAGCCCTAAACAAATATTTTCATCATTTAAGCTTTTAATTAACATAGTTTTTATTGTTTCACTGACATTTATCATTTGTTGGTAAGTTAGCATTTCTATAATTTGTTTATCGTCACACAGTATAACTGAATATTTATTTAATTGTACAGAATCATTCAGTAAATACATTTTGCAATATTTGATTTTATGTTCAAAACTTCAAGCTGCAAATGTAAATATAAATGAAGTTAGCTTTAAGGAAGTTAGTAACAATTTAATAAAAGAGACTTTTTTAGAACGCAGAACGCACCCTTTCTTTGTTCTCAATCTGTCATATGTCATATAACAGATGATAATCAGGAAATCAGGGTAATCAGCTGTTTTTTGTTTAGGATACATTTAATTACAGAAATATAACATATTATTCGTTAGTGTTAATAAAACTTGTAAGTATTTCTGAAACAGTTACAGAACTTATTAACTATTGCAAGTTAGAAATTGGTAATATTTTATGTTTAAGTTTTATCACAATTTTTTAAAATATACTATTTCTAGACAAAGGAAAAACAATGGGTAGGATTTTCTTAGAACATATGGGAGGAAATCGCCTCTTTTCATGTGCTAGATGTGATACAAATTTAACAAATCGTTCAGAATTGATAAGTACGAGATTTACGGGAGCAACTGGACGTGCATTTTTATTTAACCGAGTGGTTAATCTGACTTACAGTGACGTACAAGACCGAGTGATGCTCACAGGAAGACATATGGTAATTGAATATAAATAATGTATATGTATACCAGGTTTAGTTAAAACTAAAGAGGCTTCTAAAATTGCAGGTTCGAGATGTCTCGTGTAAATCGTGTGATTCTAAATTGGGATGGATGTATGAGTTCGCCACAGAAGATAACCAGAAGTATAAAGAAGGACGAGTTATCCTTGAGCGGGCTCTAGTAACAGAAAGCGATGGTATGGAGGATAGAATATATAATGATAGGAGACAGAATTAACAAATTCTGCATTGACTAGATTGTTACATATTGTTGAGTATTTAAAACGTATGTAAAGTGGAGTGGAATGGAGGTCTAATTCATATGCAACTGTTTCGTAATAGTTCAGGATTGATGCCATCTATTGTAATAGATGTATGTAGGCATACAATGCTGTGCAAAATTATATCGCATAGAGAACTTGGTTTGTGACTTGTTTCGAAGAACAACATAAAGTTACCTGTTAATTTATTACGGAAGGTATGAATTTAGAATAGATGAATGTTCTGTGTAATGTATACCTTAGGTGATATTTAATAATAATAAATAATTTTACTGTTTTAAGAACTATATACCTGAGGTTTTATTGCATTTTGAAACAAATAGCTGTGCTGCAGCAGATCTCTATATGCCGTTTTGATAACCATTACAAGTTTTAGGATTTTGCAGTTGAATTTCATAAAAAAATTGGGAATACTTATATTAATTTTTTTCTAGGTAAAGGTATAAATCTTATAATTGAAAAATTAAAATTACTAGATGGAAACTTATTTTTTCTATGTATTTGTAATATTAGGTAGTAGAATAAAATTTAAATATCCGGTCATAATATATTTTTCATTTTCATGTTTGTTGTCATTGCTTGAAAAATAACACTTTAGACCAACACTGTTAGATAAAACGATACACATTTTATTTAACATGACGAAGCTTCCCATACAGTAAGTTTATTTACCTTTGTTTATCTCCTTGATGCTATCAATTTTAAGTACTAGTTGATATGCGGTAAACAAACTTATCAAGAAGCAATTTCAAAGTTTACAGATTTATTTCAAAATGTCTAGTAATAAATTTTAAAAAGGTTCAATAAAATGAGCAGTTACAGTTACATTTTATTTATATCGTTAACAAATATGTACAACTGTCCCATATTATAAGAAAATAAATAAATAAATAAATTTCCTGGTTAACTTTTTTCTGTTGTTTTCATTTCAGTTGCCGGTAACAATTTTTTTTCATAGAGCATACTAACAATGTACTAAATTTTCTATGGTCGATAGTCGTAATCACTGCACTGGTTAACGTTAGTAATTAGTTTTGTAGACAAGACGAAATGAGCATAAACATGATGAGTGATAGTTATTTGTGTAAATAAATAGATATCTGTCTAATAATATTTCAAAATCAGTTATATAATAAATACTTATATGGTAATCCCTGTATTATTATTGCCCAATAAATATCTAAATTATAGATTATTGACTTAAAATGTTATACACCAACTTATCAATTTTTATATGAGTAACTAATGTACTCATATGGGTATGCTAATAAAATAGCAGCTTAAATACTTATAAGCAATTAAAATTTACCGCCCCTTTTAGTTCTGATGTCAACAAGAGATGGCGAACCGTGGCCTGTGGGTAATACAGAGTCTTAGCCTGAATCCACATGCATGCGTGTCACGGATCCGTTTCCGTTGTAACCACGTGACGTCCAACATCTAACATCCAATTGTGCATCAGTAAAGTAACAATGCTCCCTCAAAATCAAAACGAATTGGATGTTGATAGTTACGTGTTTACAATGGACCCGTGATAACGCATTCATGTGGACCTGGACTTAGCCTTGTACGTAATAGATATTCTAGGATTTTGTTATATGACATGACAGATGGCGACATTACTATTCTGTGCAAGAGTTGTCATTGAATATTTACCTTTTACGGAAAGTTCCTAAAACTATTTGAGTAACACATGGCTACAATTTGTCAAAATTATGATTATTAAAAATCCAAAACCGGCTTATAGACGTTGGTTAAAAAAAGGTGCCTTAACACTCTTTGTCATAGAAGCAGTTTGTTTCGCTGGAAGTTATTTTGTTTGGCATAGAATTAACACTGAGAGAGGTGTGTAAATTTGGCAGGTATATGATGGAAAATGTATATCTAGTATATATTTCAGATTACAGACGCTATTTACACGACAACTACCCTTCTATTTTGGAAGCATTCTACAAAACTGGAGAATTAATTGATTCAAAAAGTAATATACGACAAATTGATCAGGCTTATTGGAACGAGGACAAAATTAATGGCTAATAGATACGTTCGTTCAATTTTTTGGTTCTGCACATCTACTGGACTTGGTTACGGTTTATTAGTGCTTACTTCACCATCTGAGGCAGATATTGAGAAACTGAAAAAGGTACGGAAATAATATCTGATGGTCATAATTATCAGTTTTCAATTATTACTTAATAGCTTCATGTAACATCAATATTTTTTATAATAGACAGTAGAGGTACTTTCAAAGTACTAATAAATATGTAGCGGAAAGTGACATTCATATTTAATACAAAAACCGTACAGTTTTTTAACTTATATCGTTTGACAATAATTTAATCTATAGATTGACAGATATCAGGTTGACAGTTGACGAATTCTCATGAATAAAAAAAATGTGATAATATCAGTAAGAAAGTGTTTTTCTCATTCTTTTAACAATCTATTTATAATTAAGTTTCATTATTTTGATCATTTGTCGAAAAATTTCAGAAATATTTTATAAAAATTATATTTCAGAAATTGCCAGGTGTAGAACGTAATTCAAAAGAAGTCATAAACAAAAACCAACAATTTACAAACGTGTTACAAGCAGCAACAGAGAATAGAAAGCCACTTTATCGTTTATCGCAAAGTGAAATAGAAAACGATATTAAAAAATAATCATTAACAGAATAAACCCAATAATAGTAATAAGATGGATATAATAGATGACAAGCCTAATAAATTAAATATCCTAACAAAACGAGAATTGGAAAGGCAAATAAATTTACAGAAAAAGAAGGAAAATAAGGAGCTTCTTTCTGCTGATAATGAAAAATTAGGATTTTTTGATACAATTTTTTCCGATAAACAGAGCTACATTGAATCTTTAATTGATAATTCTCCCAAGCTTCCAAAGAGTGAACTGCCTAATCATTTTAATTATATTTCAAAAGAAATATTAACCTTACAAAAATATGTTTCTGCATCTACCATATTTCTTAGACACTATGATTTGAAAAAGTGTCAGGATGTTTTACAGGAATTATCGACAAGGGCTAAAGATTATGAGGAACAGTTATTACCCAAAAAGAAATTTGGTTTCAAGAATAAGCCAAAACAAAAACCAATTCAAAAGAATATTAATGGTAATAATAAATACGATGAAGTCGATTCAAATCCAATATCCCATTTAATTGAGTACAGTTGTGGCTTTTTCCATAAACAAAATGAAACACTTACTATGACTAATGCAGAAATATTTAAAAAAGATGTTTCTGTTGAACATCTAGAAAATTGTATTGTGATTTTCAAAGGAAGTCCGTCAACTTTACATTTAAACCATCTAAAAAATTGCAAGGTTTTCTCTGGTCCTGTATCTACTTCTATATTTGCTGAAAACTGTGTAAATTGCACTTTAGTTATTGCCTGTCAACAATTGAGACTGCACAGTTCAAATAGCGTGAATATATATTTACACGTAACTAGTAGAGCCATAATGGAAGACTGTAAAGAAATCCGTATTGCCCCTTATAATTGGCATTACGAAGGAATTGAAGATGATTTTGAGAATGCCTCGTTAGATATGTCTATAAATAATTGGAGAAGTATCGATGACTTCAATTGGCTAAGCGATAAGCGTTCCCCAAACTGGAGGGTGATTGAAGAAAAAGACAGAGTGAAACAGTGGGATAGAATTGAATAGTTTTTGTATTTGAAATATACCTAGTAAAATATATAGACAGCTAACAATGTCTTTTTAATTATTGTTAATATATTATTTTGATGATTGGTTTCATTGAGTTTGCTTTACGAATACAGGCTCTTAATATAGAATATATAGTATTCCTAATATTTATTAATTTGATAATATTTAGTCACTTCCAAGAGGAACATCCCAATTTTTTTTAAAAGAATTGTATATTCATTAAAATAAAATATATGTTCTGGAATCAGTATTTCTATTACAGTAATATAACAAAATGATACACATTGAAAAGATTCTTCGACTAAATCAAATTTTCAAGAACAAGATATACAAACTTGTATAGTTTTTGATAACTGATGCATAAAAAACAACATTAGAACTTCTATGTATCGTAACTTTTATTATATAATTAAATATACAAGATAGAATCTACAGTTTCCACAAAAAAAAAACTATTAAACATTATATCCAACAATGTGGCGTTTTCCAATACATTCTCCTACATAGAACCAGCAAAGCACTTCGATTCCTACGAGAGTGTTTAACCATGCTTCTCTTACAGTAAGATTTTTCCACGTACCATTCTTCGCAGAACTAATTAGTCTACCAATGCCTGCTCTTATTTGAGGAATGTCTGCGGGAGTTGGTGGTGCCAATTCTACTCTTGCATATTTCATGAAAGTGTTAAATTTTGGTCGGGTTTCTTGAGCAAGTTCTGTGGGAAAAAAAATAAGAAGTACATAAAGTACAGGTATAGATTTAATATTGAAATCCTTATAAGCATTAGGTTAGGTTACGTAATTTGGAATACTTGGAATTTCGTCAATTTAAATTATTACTTACTTGCTGCTAGTGTAGGTATTTGAGAAATAAGTTTGGACATTTTGAAAAATAGGTTGAAGCTACTTCTTTTTTCTCAAAATCGATAATGAACAACCAAAATGTCCAAACTTCGAACCACAGAAGAGAAGACCACTGATCTTAGACCTACACAAGCAGTAGACTGTCCGTCTAATTACTGACATAGGGCGTCACAAAACATATAATAGAGCGCATTCAATCGTGCAAATGCAACCACAGACGCTAAGAATTTGGAATGGAACGAGTGTATAATATCGATTGATGATGCAATAATAGCCGGCTTTTATTTATCAGATCTCAGTAGCTCTTACTTAACTGACCAATCAGCATACAAAAATAGCTGAGATTCTTAAAAATCAGGTCACAAATCACATTGGCTTTGAAATAGTTGTGAAGAAATTTTGGTTGAACGAATTTCGAAAACTCGTATCATTTTACATTTAGTGAAAAATTGACTTATCGACACTATAATTAAAAAAACTTTAATTTTAAAGTACTATTGTAACATCGGCACGAACTGCGGATTATGAACCCTTTAGGTAGGCCACAAATTGCGATCGTCTCTTTGTGCTGGAACCTACCGTTTTAATTACAGTTTAAAAAAACTGTGCCTAATCTGGTAAGGTGAGCCATTACATAAACATTTAGACAGTTACTGGGACTGCCATTGTCTTTAGAGTATGTGCTTTAGAGTCTTGATCAATGGCAATACTCTAAAATCTCTACATCGGCCAAATACCGCAACCGTTGTGCCCTAAAATGGCGGACTGGCAAGTGGTGACGTCATCCAACGTCAATTCTTGGTACCATGGTAGTTGCATCCTTGAAATGGCAAAAAATTGTGTCAAATAAATTACATAACCTCATTTTTAAATTACGTGTGGCCGAAAGGCCCGATTAAATCTTTAAAATATAAGACAATTTTGTGACAAACATGCCCTCAAATTCTTTAAAGTGGCAAATAGCGTTAGGATTAGGTGCGGTTGGAGCTGTAGGTTTGGCTTATTGGTATATCAGAACAAGTAAAAATCGGTCATTACAGACAATACAGGAATCGGTAGTTGTTTCTGCCGAAGCAAAAGCAGAAACCCCATTCCAACAAGCCCAAAGATATAAAACAGAAGGTAATGAAATGTTTAAAAGGGGTAAATATGATGAGGCGATATCACTCTATAATAAAGCCATCGAAACAATACCAGATGAATATAAAACAGATTTGGCAACATATTATCAAAACAGAGCAGCAGCTTATGAACAGTTAAAGAAATGGAGTTCAGTTATTTCGGATTGCACAAAAGCTATTGAACTTAATAACAGATATGAAAAAGCACTCTACAGAAGAGCTAAAGCTGAAGAGATGACAAAAGATTGGGTTAATGCTTTAGATGATGTCACTTCTGTTTGTTTATTGCAAAATTTTGGGAATCAAAGTGCCCTGTTAATGGCAGATCGTGTTTTGAAAGAATTGGGAAAGAAAAATGCTGCAGAAGCTATAAAAAACAGACAGCCTATTATACCGTCAAAAAATTTTATAAAAACATATTTTTCTTCGTTTTCCGAGGATCCAGTGTACAAAAAGTTACTAGAGGTTACAGATCCTTTGGGGCAAGGAGAGTTAAAAGGTCAGTTATAATATTTTATCTTCCTTGTAGCATTTAATTGTTTATAATTAGTAAGTCGCCACGGTAGCGCAGTCGGTCAAGAGTGCGGTGGCAAGCATTTCTCGGCTAGGCTTCCTACTCTGGTCCGGGTTCGATCCCCGGTATCGGCACTGGCAATTGTCGATGGATAATGGGTGTTTGTCCGCGTTTTTTCAAGTGTAGCCCTCTTCCGCACAAGCCTTTGGCTTTTGGATTTGGGGGTTGTCTCATTTCTGTGGTGTGTTTTATGTTTTATGTAAGTATTTTACATTTGAACTTGTTCTTTTTAAAACGTCATTTCATAAAAATCAGTATTCTTTATTAACATAACTTTGATACTACGTTGTTTGTCTGTGATAATAAGCATTTTGTCTTAAATATTGGTTTTACAAACTAAGTTATGACTCACAATGACAATTGATTGCAGTACTTTATCAATCTGGGTACTTTACTGTCCAGTATAGGTATAAATTGCCATTGATAATGCAAAGGGGCGTAAGCACCGAAAGTGCTATTTGATTAATTTCTCAGGAAAGCGACATAAAGAAGTCATTACTAGCAAATTTTTTGTGGTTGGACATTGTAATACTAATTGTGTACCAGGGTATGTGAATATATGTATATACTTTCGTTACTCTAAGGGCTTAATTAAAAAAAAAAGACTGGTTGACCTTTCTTGTCACTCAACCATATATATGCAAGGTCAACAACGACATATCTACATAATATGTACTTGTTTACTTTAAATATTTGTTTTTACTTGTTGATATAAAATATCAACAATACTTTTGTTATATTATTCACAAAGGTCACAAGTGTCGATATTACCGTTTTTTCTGTAATAATTAAGTACAAATTTATTTATCTTCTGTTTTGTTGATGATATATACACTTTGTACTCTCTATTTCACGTAATATGTGAAATAAAGTAAATTTGCTAATTTTAGGGTTCCTTAAGGCAAAATTAGCTTTTGCAACCGAAAAATATGAGGAAGTAATTCCTGCTTGCACAGAGGAACTGAATTTGAGCGAATCAGAATCCAGTCACAAGCTTGAAGCTTTGTCACTTAGAGCCTCCTTCTATTTTCTTACTGGGCAATTTCAAGAGGCCGTGGAGGATCTAAGTACAATTATAAATACTAAAGAAGCAGACAATTTAATAAAAGTAAATTCCCTTATAAAGAGGGCCTCAATATATATGCAGACCGAGAGGCTTCAAGAATGCCTTGATGACTTCGATACTGCAGCTGAACTTGGACCCTTCATCTCAGGTAGGTTAATACTGATTAATTTGCAAAATGAAAAATAAAATTATTAATTTGAAGATGTGTTTCACCATCGAGGTCAAGTGAAGTTACTAATGGAAAAAACAGACGAAGCGCGGAGCGACTTTCAGAGAGCTGTCGAACTGAATCCGCATTTTTCCGTTGCAGTGGTACAAAAGTGTTATTCAGATTACAGACATGCCATGCAGACACAAAATGTGGATCTTCTCATGCAAAGCATGCAGGATTTTAGAAAAGCCATAGAAAGATTCCCAAATTGTCCAGAAACTTACATACTATTTGCTCAAGTCAAAACTGAAAAACAAGAATTCCATGAAGCGGAAGAGCTTTATCAGAAAGCGCTAAAGATCGATCCGAACAATGCCTCAATTTTTGTGCATAGGGGGCTGCTTCTTTTGCAGTGGAAAGGCGAAATTGAGAAGGCAGTAGAGATAATGAGGGAAGGTATCAAAATTGATGAAAAATCCGAATTTGCCTACGAAACGTTAGGCACAGTAGAAGTACAAAGGTATGGAAATAATTATTTAGTTATTCAATATTGCTATATTACTTCATTCTTACCAAAGTCCATTTTTTATTTAAGAACCAGACGTGATTCTAACAAGGCCTCTTTCATTTCTATAAAATTTCTGATTGCATATAAATTCAAATTTGGTGGGAGGATCAATTTCAAGGGTAATTTTTTTAAGTGCTCACAAAGTTACAAAGTCTGTTCTCATTACGTTAGGTGTAGCCCACTTTTGTTTTTCAATATTTTTCGATTCAGTCGATTAATCTGTTCGAAAGTTATGAGCAGAAATATCATTTTATATTTTCCTCAGATCTTAATCTCTGGTATTACACCCGGCTGTATAAACTATTTTATAGACCTATCCACGTCAGAAGCATTCAACTTTTAAATAAGTTTGATAATATTGCCTTTCTTGTTTTAGAGGCAACTTGGTACTAGCCATAGATTTATTCAACAAGGCCATAGCTCTAGCAAGATCTGAAATGGAGATGGTTCACTTGTTCTCTCTGAGAGACGCCGCTGCATCCCAACTGAAAATCGCCTCAAAACTAGGGGTTGGTCCGGATCTTCTCAAAGGAGTATCTTAACCTGTTATTATTCTTTGTTAATGTGTTACAAATTTCTTGTGAGGTAAGCATTGTTACTGTAAATATAAATCATTCCAAAATTAAATGAAAATTTATAGTCGAAAGGTTTTTGCTTCGCATTTGCAGATTTGGATAATAGAAGCTGCTGACTGATGTTTTATGTTATGAGTTAAGTTAAAGTACATCACATTAATATTTCTGTTTTATTTTCTCTAATCGTTTGGTATTTCACATTTTAAATAGACTGTTTATATTTTAATATATTTTTTAATTACGATGCCTTTAACTCTTCGTTTAAAAACATTGAACAAATCAAATCGTTTTAAGCATCATTGATAAATAAAATGGTTTAACACTTTTAAACGTTCTTGAAAAAATTGAAAATTAGTCCCAGTTACATTTTAATTTAACTTGTGCAGAAACTAATTTTTACAATTTCTAAAAGCGATAGTAAAAAATAAAAATGGATCATATTTCCTTCTATATATTATTCGGATTAAAATCAGAATAACAGAATATTTAGAAATGTTTGTCACGTGGATTTGATAACGAGTGCTCTGTATTATTAAGTTCACAAAACTTATTTAAGTAATCATTGTTTGCGTTATAAGATAACATACTTGTTTTTCTTAAACAAATAATTTAGCAATGAAAGCGTCAGAGTACCTCCTTATGTCCTAAGTAAATGATTTTCCAAGTAAAAATTAATAAAATGATATATTGATCTACAAATATAACATCTATAAAACTTTATCTAAAAAATCAACTATGTTGATTGAGTTAAAACGTCAACAATTTCATTAAAATCTGTAACAAACCACTTTGCCTTCGCTTGCACCTTTGGTCTAATAACGTTTCCTCCATAACCTGAAAATTAACAAACACATTGAAACATCTCTTTAATATCGTCATAATTAGAGGATTTACGAGAATTACCTATAAATGCGTCTGCTGGTGGGCAAGCTTCAAGGTCAGTGGCACCGTCCCCAATTAAAACTAAATTTTTAAAATCGTATGTATGTTTTAGGTATTCTATAACTACCCCTTTTCCACCACTTTTGCTAGTTGGTTGATTTTCGTCAATACCAGCAAATTCACCTAATAAAAATGTTAAGTTCTAATTTTATGTTTTTAGTTAAAAACTCTGGGATTCAAAATTGATAATAAATTGTTTGAATTTCTATTATTAGAAAATATCACCAATAAAAATGTTTTGAAAATATACATACATACCTGTGAAGTAAAACTTCAATCTGTTTGCAAAAATATGCTCTTGTGGAATGTTTAACTGGTGCGCTACTGGGGCTATTATGCATTTAAATCCGCCTGATATTAAAAATACAGGTATGTGACGAAAATGTAATAAATTTACTAACTTCCTGAAATTTCAGATAAAAATAAATATGTACTAGATTTCAGTTACTACGTTCAACAAAAGAAATGTATTAAAATAATAAATAATAATAAGTACTTAATTCCTGGGGTTAATGTTGGAGGTTGAGTTTTTATAAATTCTTTAACTTGCAGTAATGTAGGCTGGATAATATCCAAACGTAATTTTAAAGCTTCTTGGAAAGTCATATTCCCTGTCATAGCTTTTGCAGTCCTAAAATTATGAAGACAATTTTTAGTCTTTCAGATATTTTTCAGAATTATCCCTAGTTTTAATCTAAAAAATGTGATTTAGTATGGTAAGTGACAACCATTAATTTGCAATTGAAAATAATACTTCCTATTCATTTATGGGATTCTCAAAAAAGTAAATCACTTACAGATCAGCAACTTCCGTTCCTTTATTACAAAATTTTGCTAATTCATCGATTCCTTCTTCTTGTATTACTGTTGAATCTACGTCAAAACATATAGCATCTGCATTCTTTAGCACATTTTGTACTTCATTAGCCATGTTGATCTATTTTTAAAACTATAACATTATTAAACATTTTTTTATTTGCTAATTGCATTTTAATTACTTTTACCTTACAAAACCAATTACACATAAAAGTGTTCTTCGTGGAACATGTACATAGAAAAATTGTTATCTCATGATTTACATAATTGTTTATCACATTAATGACCCCCAAATTAACCCCTTTTGCCCCATTTACAACAAACCAAATGAGCAGCAGAGAAAGTGACAGCTCAAAGATAACCTTATTACCTTAATCACTTCATATTCATACATTTTTTTTGCAAACCATTCAAAACACAAAACTGGTGCGTTCATAGTGTACTCAGTATGAACATAATCATAAAGGCCGCATTCAGAATATCACTTCGATGACAATTCAACGCTGAATCGTCATCCTCCATTCTCTAAATAACTGAATACGCTTGGAAATAACGATAAGTAATCGAAAGATGTGTAATCGAATCAAGATCGCTAAAGAAGTACGTACTTTAGCGCCCCCGAAAATTATTTCTTGATTGCGGAAACTTTGTAATATAAATCCTTGTGTAAAGTGTACAAAAAAGATAAATAAAGCAGTAGTTGATATTTGTCCACGGATGAGGCCGTCCGGATCAAATAGTCTCAACGTCCAATTCCAAGACCGACCGGAGTAACGATTTAGTCTCTACCTTCGGCGCTGTCGAAGGCTGTCCCTCTGATCTACCCCCGATTCGATTCATATCGTATCGAATAAAGGTAAGTTCATGCAGTAGCGATTTGCGGATTTCAATTTGATTGGTTGAAATAAAACGCATTTCATGATTCTTATTTTTCATGTAAATAAGGGTCACTAGACTGTCAAAAACACTCGATTCCAGACGAATCCAGTAATCAAAATCTGGAGCCTGAGCTATCTGTATTGTATTGTGGTTCGATATTACAGACTTTTGAAGTCTTTTTGCAGAAGTATGTGTTCGGTATTGACATCCGAAGTGCTTTCGTTTGTCGAAAATATGTAGTAGCTATTGGCAACTCAGGGTATAATGCTCTGTGTTCGATTCGATAAAAATGCTGCAGTGTTTGTCACTTAAGGTTGCTCCCCTTTTCCTCTAAACACCTACCTAATTTTTGGTGTTTTGAAACTCTGAAAATATTTGAGGTCGTGCAATCGTAGTTGTCATCACAAATCTTAGTTTTATTATTTAAAATAAAAAACATGTACGACAGAGATTTTTACGTAAAAATTATTATTTTCTGCTTATTAAAACTAAAATAATTTTAGCATCTCTCCAAAGAGGATATCAAGGATGTCACATCACCAACAAGTGACCTGATGAAAGTATCCGTTCTTTTTGACGACATGAGTGTTGCACTTAACAACTAAAAACTTTTAGTCTTGGGGGCTTTCATGTTGACAAAAATAGTACCTATTAGCAACTAATATCAGTTCAGAGTAACTCTAAGTTGCTATTAGTTACTATTTTTGCCAAATCGAAAGGATCTCCTGATGTATCATCCTCTTTAAAATGAAATTAGTCCAGAGGGCCTTTCGATTTGGCAAAAATAGTAGCTAATAGCAACTTAGAGTTACTCTGAACTGATATTAGTTGCTAATAAGTACTATTTTTGCCAAAATGAAAACCTGGAAGTCTGTATATGTTTCGTCCTTTTTTAATAATTATAGATGAAAAGACAAAGAAAGATATATATATATTTGAATCATCTACTGCATCTAGACTAGATGTTCATACCGATTGTTACTAATAAGGGTTTTTTGGCGAGAAAACCGCTAACCCGGTTAACTATAGTTTGTTGCGGTTTGCCGTTTTGGCGAGAAATGTTGTTAACCCGGTTTAGCAGAGTTTGCCTAACCATCAAACCGGACTTGTGGGTTGGTTTGGATCTTAAGTTAATATTTCTATCTTTGTTTATGTATTTTCTGTTTCGTACCTAGTAGTCACTACTTCGTTTTTTTAGAGGTTTGGATAGGTTAAGTTGTAAATAAAAAAATTTGGTAATGGATTCACTGCAAAAAATACAAAGTAATATTTGAAATTGATAATAAAAAAATAGTAATCGAGGATCCAAATAACTTTAATCGTTTATTAGATGGTAAATATGCATTTTATATATTGTACTGTATAGATCTTTATTAACTTCCTTTTAGACGATACATTTGCGTTTGAATAGATAATATTTGTGAACAAGGTAAACCCATTTTGATTTAATAACCATACATTAACGTTCTTTCATGGATCTGCATTTCAGATTAGGAATAACAACTATAGTATATAAGAAATAATTAAGCAACTTGAGCTACGAGCACTATCATAGATTATAGGTTACGATTTCATTATTGATTAGATATCCAAACCAAAAGAATTTTTGCGAGTTCTGTCAAATGTTAACTCAAACTCTTAACACAATCAAACTCGAGCTAACCGGGTTTGATGTGGTTTGGCTCGCCAAAAAACCCTTTATGATTCCACTAGTTTTTTGCTGTTTCTTTTCATGATACGTTTTTCGATTTTGATTCTTATGAACTGCTATTTTTGAACTGTAGTTTTATGTGAGCATGATTCGATATAGGCCAATCGCCAATCACGTTATTCGATTTCTAACATACACATATATAAATCTTTCTGCAGATTTTATATATGACAATAGAATTCTAGATGATAGACATGATCTTTCCTATTTCTTTTTCTTGATGTTCTCTGACTCGACTTTATCTTTATAGCTGCTTCCCTTTTGCAAGAAAAATCACATTAATATCACATGTGACGTCATGACTCAGTTAATTGTGCGTTTCTTTTAATTCTCCGAAGTGAGTTTGAACTGAGAATTTTTACCACCACTTACTGCTATCTGCCTTAGTTTGAGAGCTTGTTCACTTGGCTCATTTTGTGCTCAGTAATTTAAAGTGTAGTTAGGCACGGTTAGGTTTGTTTTTAAAAGCTAAAAGTTGCAAATAATAGGTAAGTATTATGATTTATAACGTCTTTTCAATAATAATATTTCGCATTTAAGTTTATATATGGTTAATTTACATTTAGAGAAGAATCACAACTGAAACAACTGATGTGAGTACACTCACCTCACGTGTAATATGTACTCAGTTGCCTGCAAAAGGGAAGCAGCTTATATATCTCTGTGACTCTTGTGTTCTTCTGCTTTAAATGTATTCTATGTTAGAAGGGTGTTAATTACGAATAAAATGAATTTTAGGAATTAAATTGTAGTGCTTTTTGCATTCTGCTTACATTTTGATCAGATCACAATTATCTTGGCCTACTAATTAAGCTTCATCGTAACAAAAGACGATGCACTTAAGTACAAAATTTTTCCATCAAAATTAAACATTTCATTTCCATAAACTTCAATCAATCCATTTTTACAAATGCTAAATAGAACAAGTACCTCCGCATTTAGAAAAATAGAGTTTATTTAATCCTTTTTTTGCACTTACGTAATTTTTGCAAGTAAGAGGAAATAATGTTGAGGGTTAGCCAATTTGCAAAACTGTTTATGGCCAATAGTCCTGCAAAAACTTACTGCACTAGAATTTTTATAAAAGATGTAGCATATAATCCACGTAAGTACAGAATTTCCCATAAAATTATAAACAATCATAACCTCAAATCAATATTTTAGGACAAGGAATAATTTTTCGCATTCCCAGAATTTTTTTCACCAATAAAGGCAACGACGATAAAAGTAAGGTATGTGATAAGGATAAAAAACAGAACTCGTCCATACAGTCTCATCCCTGTCCAAGTAAACCCAAGCCCCCTAGTACATGTACAGAAACACCTCGTATAAAACTGAGAGAATGTAAACCGATAGACCTTAATCCTTGCAAACCTCCACCTGAAGGATGCCCCACGGTATTTGTTTATCACTTTAATTTTAATAGCATATAAAATAATACCTATTCCTGTTTGTGAAAACTGTTTAGACAATGTTATATATGTTACAAATTTACATTAAGGACAAATCTTAATCTACTAATTAAATATTAGCCAATCCGTTTAATTGAAGATGTCATAAGGCATTTTTAATCAATTTAGAAAAATAAATGTAAGTGGATAGACATTTTAGCTTGTATGATTACAAGTTGTAACATCCTAATAGATGTTTTATATCATTGCCATTGTAATACTTGCTTTTTTTTCCCTAATCTCAGTACTGTATAAATACAACTATCAGAATTATTAATACTAGGTAACGATTTGATACTGAAATAGATTATTGGAGTTTTAATTTTAATAAATTTTAATTTAACTCTACTTCGTAATATAGTATAAAGTTATCAACTAAACCTTAAATAATTCAGTTATGTTTCAAATTTGCCTTTCCAGAAATCACATTTTCACGGGAATGGCACCTTTAATCTGTAATTTAGATCAGAATAAAAATTTCTTTTAACTTTGCGTTTACCGTAATTGTTTTTAGACAGATTCCAAGATTCAATTAATTTAAGATTTGAGATTTAATAATACATTATTTAAATATTTTTATATTATTTTTAAATATTTTTTTCTTCTCATTTGTTAAATTATATTTATAATTTTTCGTTATAGAAAATTCCTTCAATTCAAGACTGCCCCACTCCAAATCTAATGAGTCAAATTCCAGAACCCAAGTGCCCTTGGGACAACGAAGACAATAGCAACAGGAAGAAAAAGCAAAGGATATTATGGCTAGGGCTGCTTTTCACTGCATTTACTTTGGGTGCTGTAAGTATTAAGAAATCCTGAAGTTTTTTGTGTGAAACATGTTCAAGTTTTGTTCATTTATATAGTATAGTTGTCGTTAATAAAAAAGTTAAGCAAAATGAATAATCATCGTGGTTTTTTGTATTTAATAGGGTCGATAGATTAACTGCTTTCTAAAATATATTCTTGCAAGATTGCTCGTTTTTTTGTTTTTTTTATTATAATATTGGACTAGTAGGTGGAACTAGTAGGATTAAACTTGTATATGTATTAAAGGTTTAAGCATATTTTATAAAAGCAGATACTTCATCCACAATTTATCAGTCGATTAAAGTTGCTAGAGAAATTAACAGCGTTAAGTAAACCCAAGTCTGGAAAATAACGGTAGCTGTGATGAATATCATTCTTGTGGAGTTCAATTATAACATTTCGGCAAATTCATTTCAGCCAATACTTGTCAAGTTTTATAAATACAACTTTTCTTATCAGAATGTTGTTAGATGTTCGCCGTTATGGTTTTCATTATATCTGTTACCCTGAAAAGTTTATGATTGAAAAAATATAATGCTTTATGTAATATACCAACCTGGTTTTTTGTTCTTCCTTAAATCATATGTTTGAATTTTAATTATTTCTTGCATTGTTGAGCATTACAATTTTCTGTGTACAATAAAATTATCGTACTAATAAATTTTAAAATATGTAAAATTGTCTTGTTGAGGGTTTCAAACATGTTTCTGTTGATATAGATATTTTTTTTTGACATTTCTTGACAAATCAAGGATAACTAACTGCAACTATAAATTTTACTAAAATGTGTAATTTTATAATAGGCTAGACGGTCGATCTGTTTCAAAAAGTCCATATTTGGGTGAATCGTATATCCACGGAGATTTTTCGCTTTTTGGCTTTCAAATTTCACTAGAAATGAAAATTTTTCTATGTGCATAAAAAAAAACGTGGGCTTAACTTTTGGCGGCATAATAAAAAGAATTCGAAGAATGTCATATTTTTCTTCCTTTTAATTATTTATCTTTTTAAGAGATGATTTTAGGCGAAAATGGAAGATGAAAAAAATTTTTGTAATTACATTTTTTATAAAATATGACTATTTACAAATCGAATGAATCATGATTATTAGTGTAAAAATTGGAAAAATCGCCAAAAATGGGGTTACAAAACATTACTTTTTAGGGAATTTTTTTGGGGTCTTTAAATTGGGTATAGAACCTTCATACTTGGCTCAAGAAAACTTCATGTTATGTAGAATCATCACACCAAATTTCATCAAAATCGGTTCAATAGATTTTGCATAATAATTTTGCAATCCAGATTAAAAAAAAATTGCAAATTTTCAAAATTTTGCACAGCAAAAACCAAGGCCCTTAGATACTTGAAAATTTAATCACATATAGAAGGGCTCTCAAGCTTTCAAACGCTTTTTGAAAAATTTGAAGCCGTCAATTAGGAGAGCTCTGGCGCTTGTTTAAACATTGGTTGAATCCTCTTCCATTTCGCCTAAAATCAACTCTTGAAAAGATACATAATTAAATAGGAAGAAAAATATGACTTTCGAATTTTTTTAACATATTGTGCCGCCAAAAGTTAAGTCCACGTTTTTTTTTATGCGCATAGAAAAATTTTCATTTCTTGTGATATTTGAAAGCCAAAAAGCCAAAAATCTCTGTGGATATATGATTCACCCAAACCAAAACAGATACCGCCTAGTCTATAACTTATTGGTGTGAAATTTGATTTTTTTTTTACAAGTATGTTGTATATTACATGGAACACATTTTCTAGGTGTGGTATATTGGATTTATGGATTACAAAGTGGACAAGACGGACAAGAAAGCGACGACACAAGAACCAAAGAAGAAAAAAACTAGTACGTATATCCTCGTATATCTTAATACATTGTTAGCCCATATAAAAATTATTTTTTAGAGTGTTCCAAGAGACCGTCTGTCAAAAATCCGCCCGATTCCTCGAAAATACCCAAGGAGGTGCCATATTTATTGATCGGTGGCGGCACAGCATCCTTCGCTGCATTTAGAGCTATCAAGTCTGCAGATCCAACAGCGAAAGTAACGATGGGAGGTTATAAATATGTCTGACCACTGACGGTTTCTTAAATTTCAGGTGTTAGTGATTGCTAACGAATCTTTCTTTCCCTACATGAGGCCCCCGCTGTCTAAAGAAATCTGGTTCAACGAAGATGCAGCAGCAGTTAAGAAACTTATGTTCAAGCAGTGGAACGGATCTGAGAGAAGGTAATAACCAGTGGTCTTAATTGTTTTAAGTACAATTGTTTTTCGAGTTAAACTGTGTACATGTTGCTTCCAGTTACAATACACTTTCTTAGGCTTAGCTTGGAATTTTTTACCTATTCTTGTTGTTCTTGGGCTTGACTCTATGGGGGCGGACCTGTAATCAGAACTGCTAGGCCCACCCTTTAGAACACTGTATTATTGGATCATTAGCAAATTTGATAATCCCATATACATTAACCGATTACATATTTTTACAGTTTATTCTACGAGCCAGATGATTTCTACATAGATTGCACCTCGCTGATGGCAAGCCCTAACGGAGGGGTTGCCGTAGCCCGTGGGTGGACTATTACCCATTTAGACGCTGTCGAGAGGTTGGCTTACTTGGAAGACGGATCAGCCATACAGTATGAAAAATGTCTAATTGCAACTGGTAGTGTTTGGTTTAGTTGTAATGTAGACAAATTAATCTTCTTTGACGTTTTGATCTGTAGGAGCCACCCCGAGGTTGTCAGCCGTCTTTCAGGCTGCGTGTGCCGACGACACAATCAATGAGAAAATAAAATTGTACAGGAAAATCGAGGATTTCGAAGAAGTTTTGGAGGCGTACGAGGATTCTAGCAGTGTTGCTATAGTAGGCGGTGGATTTCTGGGAAGCGAATTGGCTTGTGCGATGGGCAGGAGAGGTATGACTTTTGTTTGAGTTTAAAAACGTGTTAACGAACGTGGACATTTTCAGATAAGGGCCACAGGAAAAACATTTATCAAATATTTAGGGAGGGGGGAAATATGGGTAAAATTTTGCCAGAGTATTTAAGTTTTTGGACAACCGAGAAAGTTAAGGCTGAGGGTGTTACGGTATGTTATTTTTTTAATGTTATTCATTAAATTGCTATTACAACATTCATTAAGCAGATCTGTGGTGATTATGAATCAATAATTTTTACTCGGTTCTGTCATTTGTTATACCGGTCTGGCCAGGTAATTCTTTCGCATAGACTAAGTAAATTACACGCATCTCCCCTATCAACTGCGAATGGAAGGGGTCCGACATGACATGTATCATCGAGGCTCCGACTCGGACTCTTGTAATTGGTTGGCTGTAGGAACGCACTTGGCCCGTAGCATTTTTTGTGAACCGACCGAATACTTAAAGCGCTTTGCTGTTTGTTTAGTTCTGTTTTTATTATTATTCCACTCAAACCTTTGGTAAGAAGTAGACGGAATATTACAAAATAAAAATGGTGTACAGTGTCGAACAAATAATTAATATTATTAAACGGTATTGTCGTGCAGAAAATGTAGAGGTTGGTTGGTCGATTTATATTTTCATACCCCGACGAACCAGTCCCCACTGCTAGAACTGTTTTGAATATTTTTCATAAGTTTGAGGAGTGTGGATGTGTCGATCGGTGTACGAAATGTAGGAATCAGGAACCTCGTCAAATTCCTGAAGCAAGGAGAGAAAAGGAGGTTAGTGTCTGTGCTTTTGTGGAAGTAAGTGAGTCGTGTTCTTCCTCCCAAATTTCCGAATAACTTGACATTCCAAGTTGTACAGTTCCTCGCATCTTAAAAAGTAATGGTTACAAAGCCTATAAAATGTAAACTTCTCAAGAAATTATTCCTGGTGATCAAATAAGGCGTATGGTTTTGTGAATCCATGAAGAAAAAAATAGATGAAAATAATGAATTTGCTAGGCAGATTTTATTTACAGACGATTCAATTTTTTCCCTACTTGGCCGCCATAATCCTTCAGTGGTCCAATATTGGTCCCGGGAAAACAAGCATTTAAGAATACAAGAATTAAGAACGCAGTACCCTCAAAAGGTAAATGTTTGGGCTGGCATTTTGGGCGATAATATTGTGGATCCCTTTTTTATTGATGGTAACTTAAATGCTGAGAGATATTTGCATTTATTACAAAATAGTGTATGAAACTTGGATGTAAATTTTGAGGAAATTAGGTTTCAGCAAAACGGATGTTCTGCACACAACGCAAGGCCAGTTCAAGATTATTTGGAACAAACTTTTCTTGAAAGGCTTATTTCCACAAGAGGTATCATACCTTGACCTCCTCGATCTCCAGATCTGACACCCTGTGCCTGTGACTTCTTTTTATGGGGTCATTTAACGCAACTTCTCTACAAACATCGACACGAAAGAGCCGCAAATTTGGATGAATTACGCCTTAAAATTAGAAATATTTTAGGATCCGTTACTCCTGAAATTTTGTCAAATATTCGTCGGGAATTTTATGACAGTTTAGGTTATTGTGAAGCTGAAGCAGGTGGTTTGTTTGAACACCTTATTAATTAATAATAAGCTTTATTTAATAAGCATTGGAAAATAATTCATTATTTTGCTTAAGAATTACCACTCATTTTATTTTAGAATACCGTTTTAGTTTTTACTAAAGGTTATAAATGATTTGTAATAAACTTGGAATGCTTTAGTATGGTCTCAAAACCTCTTATCATTCTTGTAAAAAAAATATCGGACAAATAGGGTAATTACTGTACGTATGGCAACACTGCTGTCAATTCCAGGCCGTGGCTTATACTCTTTATGCCGTTGCAATAACTCAAAAACGTAATTATTATCTTCCGTATGTACGTATCTTAGACGTACGTTGTTCCCAAATTCCTAATGCAAGACAGAGACAATAAACCAATAGTCAAGGAAAGCTTAGAACCGCAGGCTTTGCACACTTCTTATGGCGTTTTTTTATTCCCTTATATCGATGGCATAAAGTTATACAAATGATATGGGGACGGAGTCAGAATTATTAGGGGAGACTGGTGAAATATTTATATAATTTACTAACTTTGTTTCGGAAATAAACATATGACCAGACCTGTATATATCGTTTTTAATACACTTCTTTATTGATGTACTTGATATCGGTATACATTTATAGGTAATGACAAACACCGAAGTTATAGGAGTGAAGTCTGAGAAGAACGGGCTCGAACTTACCTTAAATAATGGTAAAAAATTGTATGCGGACAACGTAATCGTAACGGTGGGAGTGGAACCTAACACTGACATCGCAGAGAAATCTGAGTTGGAAGTGGATCCCGAACTGGGTGGATATTTGGTGAACACAGAACTTCAAGCGAGGACTGATCTTTACATTGTAAGTTTTTTAAATTGAAGTGTCACACAAATGATTACAAGTCACGTAACCAGTAATTTTGTTTGAAACAGTAATTTTATTTCCTTCCCGCAATTCAATTTCGATAAAATTAAAACAATAATATCAAAATTACATTGCAGTCGGCAATCGCATTGTGTTGACACAACGGTTTGTCATTATTCATTGTAAACGATCGATTAATATTGATGACACCCGCGAAAGCTTCAAAACTGGATCACTGCATTTTTATATTGTTGTTTTCGAGGCTGGAGACTGCGCGTGTTTCTACGACCCCAAACTGGGTAGGCGGCGAATTGAACATCACGATCATGCCGTTGTTTCTGGAAGGCTAGCGGGAGAGAATATGACGGGAGCTCGCAAACCTTACTATCACCAGAGCATGTTCTGGTCAGATTTAGGCCCGGATGTGGGGTACGAGGCTATCGGCATTGTAGATTCGTCTCTTCCGACGGTCGGCGTCTTCGCTAAGGCTACGGATAAAGACAATCCTAAGTCAATGGTTACCGCTACAGATGAGGGAATTAGATCAAATATAGAACAGGTACAATCATTTCTGGATTTATAAATAGTTTTAATTGTGTAGTTAACAGTTTTAGCTAAGTTATTTTTGAATATGTCACACGTTTCCTTTAATGTAGGTTCCAAAAGAATGCGACAAGTTCATATCGCCAGAGTTGAAACAGGAAATAGAAGAGTCGAGGAAACAAGCGAGTATTCCAAATAAAAACGAGGGTGAAGATTTCGGGAAGGGAGTTGTCTTTTATTTACGTAACAATATAGTAGTAGGAATAGTATTGTGGAATGTTTTCAATAGAATGTCAATAGCTCGTCAAGTGCTGAAAGATCAGAAGAAGTACGACGATTTGAATGAGGTAGCGAAACTGTTCAACATTCACGAAGAGTAAGACGCAAGTTATTCGCGGAAAGCAAAAATTAAGGACCAAAAAAAGAACTATCAGAGTGACAGTGTTGAATGTTCTTAAGTGAATTTTTTAATTTTTCTACCTCAACGATTACATTGTTTGAATTTTAATGAAATCAGTATATTTGGTATTAACCGTTAGGCATATAAGAAGTTTATTTGTATTTATTTTACTCGACATCTTTTCATAAAATAAATCCTTTCATAATAAGGGCATGTCTAAAATACAGGGTGATTCACAACTTATCCAAAAAAAATTGGGAATGGATGCGGCTTGAGAAATGGAGTCCGAGAAAAAAATTATTGAATTTGTAGTACTTTCAACCATTACATAGCTGGACAATTGTAGTCTCTAGCATCATTCGTAATACCGTGGAGAGCCATCTGGCCTTAGTGACTCCGAATACTGAAATCCGATTTTATAATCGTCGTTGCAATAGTGTTTACAATAGTTTTTTTAGTAGTTAGTATTAAAAATGGCTTGCGTGTATAGCAACTTGGTGTTGATGGATATCGTTTTTATTTATGGTGAAGCAAGAAAACAGTTTGTATTATGGTGAAGCATTATTTGTGTTATGGTGAAACAAGACAGCATTTGTGGTAGTTCGTAAAAACTGAGTAAGACGGACCCAAATGTCGGTGGACAAAATTTTGAACAGCCAATTTATTTTATTATTTAAAACCACAAATTAATGTTATTAATTAATAATAACAATAGGCGCTATAAAATTTTATTTATTCCTCTGCGAAATTCTTATAAGGTTTTGTCTGTTTTTATCACTGTCGCCGTGATGGTAGTATTTTGCCAGGTCAGGTTTTACAGTGGACCAGTTTCCAGTGCCATGCAGAAGTGTATTTTTAAATCATTGTAATCTAATTGTTTAAAAAAAAGAGTGTGAACTTTAAAAATTTACTTTCGCCGTCCTAATCAACCGATTTCAATTTTTTGAAAACTATTTGAAAGGTTGAGCGGTCTTTTCTATGTGAAAAAATTTTCAAGTATCTAGATGTTTTATTTGAGGCTGTGCAATATTTTGAATAATCGAAAAATTATTTTGCGAGAACTATAGAACTGATTTTAATGAAATTTGGTGTGTCGTTTTATTATACTCTAAAGTTTTTTTTTTACAAAAATTAGAATGCCCTCGAGCAATTAAAATATTTTTAAAAAATTATCCAAAAAACTCGATTATTTTGCCTCCTTTTCATCAATTATTGCTATTTTGCAACATCGGTAATAAATTTAAACATTTTTTACTTACTTGTACAAAATTCAATTCTAAAATTTTTTTCCTCTTCAATATCCTTCCAAAGTACAAGATATAAGTAAAAAACTCAGATAAAATAGGTTTTTTTTAAATTTTTTAAACATTTTTGCAATTTTGAAAATGACCTCGCCCAGATCTAGGGATCTACACTTTTATTATGTGAGTTGTACTGAAGGTATTCCAGCAAAAATTTGCTTGCTCCCTCTCACATCCACCTCGAAACAGATCCGCCCTGGTCTAACGTGGATGATCAAATTTTTTTCATTTGACTGCCTAATAGAGATTAAAGTATCAACAACATTTTCATTTTAAAAACTGCTTTATTACAATAAAGTTTCTAATTATACAACAATAATTAAAATCCATGTAAATCACAATATAATTAGGCAACATTCAAATATAAATCTAAGACTTTAACCATAACAAACCTAAATTGCCCCAGAAAATACTAAATTTTCATTAATCTTAAATTTGGAAACTATATTACACATATCCAAATCTTAGATACATGAAAATTTAGTGAAACTAACTTATTCTACTAAATCCGTACACAGTTAAACATATTGGAGATAAGGAAAGACAATTATTGGTTACCCGCATTTTTATTCTCTCGTGTAGTGTTTCTTGGTAAGTGAAATATAATAATACCCAAACTATCCTATTAGCAAGGTTTTATATACAGGGTGAGTCATAATAAGAGTTTTACCAGACCTTCTGACTGAAACATGCATCAGTGTTCCTTGAAAAGTTATAGGTTTCCAATTTTTTGATGATGTTCGCTTGTTAAAACATTTCAATGAGATTTGGCATTAGCAAGTTTTGGGACAACTAAACATGAATATCTGTTTATTTTTAGGTAAAATATAGAGATCACTAAGAACACCTTAAACAGTATGTTTTTGCTATATTTTTCATTAGAATCAAGAAAAAAGAGGAAGAAGAGTGGTTCTTGAAACATTACTATATTTACTGTAAATTTTTATTAATTTTTCTACCGCAGTTATTATCGGTTATGGTGTGCAAAAAGTTATTACTTTTTTATGGTAAATATAAAGATAGGTTTCAAAAAACTAGATTTCTCAAAGCTTTTACCAACAAGAAAAATAATACTTAAGGTCTTAGCAACATATTGTAGGTAAAAAAAATTCACATGACCAGTAATTTTGTTTGAAACATTAATTTTATTTCCTTCGCGTTGGCAATTCAATTTTAGTAAAATTAAAAGTTCTCAAACAATAATATCAAGGTCCAGCTTATGATTCATGACATTTTATTTATCCAATCGGCGATTGCATTATATCGAGCATAGACACAACTGCCTGTCATTGTTCATTGTAAACGAATCAATAATATTGACAACGTTGATATTTAGGGATTTTTAGTTGACAGTACAAGTCGTGCAATGTTGGTTGCTTAAGCTCTGGAGGCTCTATATTCGGTCAAATTCTGACATAACTTTTGAATTATGACTCATCCTGTACCAGTTACTTATAATATGCCAAAACATTCTAAAATTAAAAATAGAATCGTGCTTACTTATAATAACACACTATGTGCAAAATATTCGATTTCCATTATTGTACTATATTTTACAGAATTTAACCGGAATAGACAGCAAATTACCTTAAATGAAGGATTTGGCACTGTTAAATTTATGAAAGGTATCTACAGTGTGCGTTTTTTTATGTTTAGTGTAGGGATCTGGGAAAGAAGCAGAGCTATAAAAGGGCTTAAATGACTAGATATTTGGAAAAATCCGAATTCGGCCAATTCTATTTTTTACAAAAAAATTTTAAATTACAAAGTTTCAGGTTTTTGCAGTGTTAATAAGACAGTGTGATCAAACTGTTGTGTACACTTTTGTTTTCAAGTTATAACATAAACTTCATGTTTTTTAAATGTAAATCATAGTTATGAGCTAGAAAAAAATGTATTTTTTATGCTTTCCAACGATGTATTTGGTATTGTTATTTTGAAAAATGGGAAAACTGTAGCGGTTTGTAACCTTTCAGTTGCTCGTTGACGTAGATGGCTGTGAAAATTATACGCAATCCAACGGATAAAATCAGAACAATTGAAGTAGGCATCGTGCGCGTGCCTCTGTATGTGTCAGGGCACCGGAGCAGTGTGCGACTGGCATATTTTAAATAAAACAATAATAAATAACAACTGGATTATTTTTATAAAGAATATAAATTATTATGATGGAAATCATTTGTGGTAAGTAAATGAAATACTTAACAAAGACACAAAGCATATCAGAATTTTATGAATAAATCATTATTTACTTTAAAAATATTAACGAAATTGTTCAAAAAGCCTACCGTTGTTTTTAATGCAGAAGACACATTTTTTTGAAACAGAATCTGAGGCTTTTCTCACGGAACGCGTCTCAATATTGTCAAAAGCTTCTTGAATGAATATAACACTCAATAATATCACGCTTTTCTTCATTTGAAAAATTCATTGTCTTTGACATTTGAAACTACTTAAGAAAGAAAAGTGACTGTCAAATAATGCTACAGTAACTAAAAGCGTTGTCAGTAAACATTTCGATTGTTTTCACAGCCATCTATGTCACCGGGCAATTGAAAAGTTGAAAACGGCTGCAGTTCTCCCATTTTTCAAAATAACAATACTGAATATTATACCGCTGGAAAGCATAAAAAAGACAATGACGTTTTTCAAAAAATAAAAGTAACATTTAATAAGGATTATAAAACTGCACATCTTTCCTCATTTAAGCTTTTTTGTATCTCTGCTACTTTGCCAGATCCCTACATTAAACATCGAAAAAAACTCACCCTGTATATACAAAATCTAGAAAGAATATTTTGTCTCTTGAATTAAATTTGATTAAAGGTGATATGTACCGCTCCATGTGTTTTGGCCCACACGGGCCAAATCTTAAATTAATCGAATCCTTAGTCGCCAGCAACTTTTTACGGTCAATATTATATAAGAAATATAAAAGCACAACAAAATATTAATAGACGATGATTATACGTGATTATTTTTTAATTATTATTTAAAAAACATATAAAAACGCGATTTGTAAATATTATAAATGACAGGTAGGTGGACACAACTATAATAATAGCTCGTACTAGCTTTAAATACACATTTATAATTCTAATAAATGCAATATATTGCTTTCCAAATGCCGCTGATAAGTAATTCCCTCGGACACAATTATGGCAATAAATAATACTAAATGTGTATATACAAACCATAAAACTTAACGAGATAAACTAATGTTGAATGAAAGTAAATACAAAAAAAAAAGGTTTTACTAGTTCACAGTTATTCGACTAATTTTTATTGGTTCCTACATAAATTTTGCAACGTACCTCATTGGTCCTTCATTATTTTTCTGATACCTCAAGCGAAGAATTCGCTTTTGCTGGACATATCGTACTCCATCTCCTCATTTTTGTACATGTCGATCATCTTTTGTATATCGTGGGATAACATCTCTAACTGCTTTTCGTGGGTTATTTTCAATTTTTCCTTTTCCCTACCCTGTTTAATGGTCGCAGTCTTGCGTTCATCTATAAAACGCTTGTTATTGTTCTGCTGTTTCTCCTTAAGTCGTCTCTCCTTGTCCCTCTTAGTTTTCAAATTCTTGTCGTTCGCAACCTAAAGGTTATAAAAAATCGTACTGTTACCTCGAATCATTTAACGCGTTACAACGTACCTCTCTCGCCGTTTCCACAGAAATTTTAGCTTGTTGGCTGCTCATCTCCTTCAGTTCCCGGTCGTGTTTAGCCTCTAACTGTTTCATCTGCACGGCTTGTAACAGTTCCATGTGCCTACGGAGAACATCTCTTTGGTCGTCTAGTTGGTTTCTTAAAAATTCCCATTCCTGTTTCCGGTGCCTTTCCATGAGAGCGCTCCATTCTAGAGTTTGCTCTGTCACCAGTTTGCGTACCGCCGGGTCGTTTACCACATCGTTTTTGCTGCAAACGAGAAACAAATAATTTTTTATAAACGCACAAAATCTCCACTCACTTCTTTCCCTTTATCAACTTCTCGATGGCAGAACATTGTGCTTTTTGTACCGTCAATTTTTCCTTCGTCTGTTTTTTCTTTAATGTGTCGTATTCCTTCTGCTGCTTCTTCGTCGTCTTTTGGAATGCCTTATCCTGTTTAATCGACTCGATGGTGATGGGCTCAAAAACTGAAAAGAAACAGGAACAGTTTGTAATGAACCAGTATTAATTTCCAGTTTTGTGTAAGGCTAAGTGCCAGCCGTACCGACGGATAGACCCAGGGAGTTGGCTGTGAATAACACTGCTTCCAGGAGAAATCTGTCAACCAAACTATTCCTGTTCCCGATTATCATTTGCTTATTTATGCCATTGTGTATTGCTTGCTTCGCTTTCTCCTTGGTTGGTATTAACTTCGTATAATTTCCGTTGTTTTACTAGAAACCGCCGATGATATTTATTTGTAGAATTAGAGCAACCCGTAATTTATTTTTCTTTGTTTCAGAGCTATTTGGGACCGGCATATTTGTTGATTATTTACTTCTCTGATTTGCGAACCTTCTTTTTATTTCTAGCACCAACCGAAATTAAAAACCAAATAATTATTTATGGCGTACCATTTCTTACGAGTATTAGATTGTTTATTGTAAAATAAACCAAACACCTAATACTGAATCTGTTTACCGTACCGATTTTGTGTCCTGACCACCGCTATTTGACCAAATTGTAAATTTTGTATTTATTTACAGCACCGGAAAACCGAACAGGCATTTTAATTCCGTCGTAAATAATTGCTCTAACCAATTTTATTTTATTCACACCGCTTGTAAATTATTTTCTACATTTCTGATTTTAGTTGTTTATAGTAATTGTAATTAGAATCTATTTTACTTTTGATTGTTTTAATTTCTGTAGGCCTTTTTGTGACCTACACTGATAAGTCCGTTTATTTTAAAAATAAAATAACACTACACTCAGAAAACTACTTTGATTAAAAGTAAGAGAAATATAACAGACCCCTGCAACAAAACTTTCTTCACTGTAGCTATCCCGAGTACTTACTCTAAAGTGGAGTTTCCCCCATGTAAAAAATAGGGAAATTGGCGCCCGATGCTAACCGAACAAAAAGATTATAATCCAGAGTACGTTCCTGTGACGTCACTCACCGCCGCCGGCCGCCGAACCCCGCTACCGATAAATCAGTAGTCAAGGGTCGTCACAAAATTGGCGCCCGAGCAGGGAGGTCAGTGACACCAATAAATATTGTAAATTGTAATTGGAATTGCGAATTAACATTCCGTTTAGAATTGGTAGTCTACCGGGGCATCTACAAGTAACGTCTGAACCGACCGTCACCACCAAACAAACAAAAGTACGTTACAAGTTTGGATTTCGTTAATATTTGATGAAAATGTACGAGATGTATTTGAAATACTTTCATTTTATAGCGAGTAGTAGTAGAAAGTCTAGCGATTGCACTGAATGCGTTAATAGTCACATACCTATTTTATTTTCTTCTTTCTTTTCCTTCTTCTCCACTGCTGGTCCCTTATCCGTGACCTACAACAAACCGTACATGACGGAATTATACTAAAACTGTTCCGAAAGCATACTAACCTCTATTCCCATCGAGGACATCTGTTCGCTTTGTTTCTGCTGTGCCCCCATGAAACCTCTGGGATCACTCAGCGCAGCCATGAAGTCCTCGAAGCCGTCGGGGACGTATATCTTCAATTCGATATTACAGAACAGCATGGGTAGGGACATGGGGAAGTTCGCCTCGGTCCTAAGGGAAATGTGGCGATACCCAGCCTGTAAGAGCGAGGGAGAGAATGAAGTGTTCTAAAGGAGCAAAAAATGGAAATATTACTTGTAAACCGTCTAGAGGTAGTATTCTTTGGCCTAATAATTTCCCATTTTCGTCGTATACACCGAATCTAAGAACGGCTAGGTCGGGAAGTACGACTTTCCTGAAAAGAAACGGCTCTTCATTATACACTGGATTCAGGCCGTTTGCCGGGACCAGTCTGGTTCTGAATTCCCTCCTGATGGTGTCCGTTGGCAACCCGTACATATCCACCTCCACGTAAGTCCCAATCTGTCAAAAATTTGCATTTAAAAGTGATCGTATTTATATAGAACTAAAAATTCAGGACATTTGGAAACTATGAACAATACATTTAGCGAGCAATTTATGAAAATAATGATACAAGTTTGCTAAATGTAATACGTACCTTCTTATCCGATAAGAACTGACCAGCTATGACTTGAACAGCACACTGCGCAGCGATAACGCCGTCTACAGGGCACTCAGCGAACGGATCGAAGGTTCTGTCGTGCCGCCTCATGAAGTCGGGTTTCAAAAGGTACCCGCAGTTCCCGTTATACTCGAATTTACCCTGATTAAGCTGCATGGGAAGGTCAGAGGTTTGGAAATTAAGAGACACCATCTGACATCCGGCATTCCAAAATACCTGAAAATACGGACTATTAAATATATTCGGAGTCGTGCGCAGGGCTTACTTGTGGCATGTAATTCGAAGAGTTAGCTCTGGCACCACTAGGATATATGCGTGACATTTGTCGCTTGTTGTAGTTGACAAATTCGATAGCTTGTGTCTTTAGCCAATTTAAACCGGCCGGTTCCGAGAAACTGGACATGTTGTGGTGGATATTTTTCTCTGTAACACAATATTTAAGCGGGTGAGAAAAAAATTTACAGTGGGGCAGGAAAATTTAAATTGCAGTATTTTCCGTCGAATAACAATTAACAAAATTTTCTTAAAGCATTATGAAGTCTGCAAAAAGTGTTAGCATCTGATCAAAATTTAAACGTTATAACTTCGAAGAAAATTTAGTTTTACGAAAAATAAAGAAATAAACGAAATCCTCAGTAAAATACACTTACGTTCGGCAGCATCAAAACTTTGAAATTTAACTGGTTGCGCATAATTGACCATGGAACTGAGCCAAGGATGCACGTTTGTAGTAGAACCAGTATAAACAATCGTTGTCGGAACACAAGTGTCTGCGTCGCCTAAAGTTACCTCTGCTACTGGAGCCTAAAATAAAAACCGAATCATTTAGAGCACTCTTCCTTGAAATGCAAGTATCCTATATATACCTCCACAGAAATATCCGGAGGTATGGGCCTGTCGGCACTTGCATTAGCGTCTTCCTTTTCTTCATCCTCGATAACAAACTGACCTTGTCTAAACAATTCTAACTCATTTTTCTCTACTTCGGGTTTCAATCTACAAGAACGAACTGAATAATTTATAAGCTTCGTGTTGCTGAAACGTACCTCTTATTTTTTATTAGGATTTTTCTTTTCAGAGAACTGGGTGGCGGAAGGGGAGCACCTGCTTCTAGCGGGTAATCCTCTAAGGGTTCTTTCAACAACAAATCACCTAAACAATACGTTATTAAAACATTTTAGCCCGTTAAATATATGTGCGTCTTACCTAGAATTTCATCACAGTATTTAGCCAATTTATATTGTTGGGTTTTGCAACAATGGTTCTCGAACGATAATATAACAGGATAGTCAGACGTGACAAAAGCCGTATCTCTTATGGCGTAGATGACGTCTTTGAATAAAATGTCAGTGCACATTGCTCTGCCGTGTGTTATGATAGGTTCTTCATCTTCACCTCTCCCTGTGAAGGAAATATGTCAGATAATAGACGTGCTATAAAATTATCTAGATTGCTCTCTAGAATTATTTATGTATTTCTCACTTAGTATTTATTCTCAAAAAGATGAAAATAAATGTAATAAATACTAATAAATATTATAATAAAATATTCAGTGATTTTACCGTCCCAACAATCCAATTCAACACATCGACAGCCTGCAAGTAATACTTGCCGGTACATTTCCACGGATGACCTTCCACCGAACTGACGTCCCGATAAATAGGTATTGTGGCTAGAATTGATGTAATATGCACATAATGGCTGATCCATATCCATGTATATGTCCAGGCGATCAAGGAAGACCGGGGCATTTTCATCTGACATTAAATACCTAGAACATATCGGCTGTATAACTGCTATTTTTTTTGGTACGCTACTATACCTTATCAATCCATCCTTAGTAAGCCTACCAGCAGCCCTTGAGGTTTCGTCTTGTTCGTAGGTATCTACAATTTCCCTTGCACGTTTTTCATCATAGAGAGGATACAATATTTCATTTAATCTAGGATCCCGTTGCTTTTCATTTAAGAAATTTATCAACTGCTCTAGATTCATATAATCGGCTTTTCCCTGTGTTCTAAAAAATATTAACGACATCATTTTAATTCTCGACAACTAATTTATATATTACATCTTCCTAAACAATTCCTCAATATCATTTCTTGGGCAAATCTTATGGTAGAGCGCGTAGAATTTATCAAACGTAAATGCTTCGGGTTCGATAGTGTCGTTCTTTTCAGACGGAAGACCCAATTCAGACAAAATTTGGTACACCAACCTTTCCGTTTTTCCCGAGGCAAAGGTTCTGGCAATTACTTTCACTGGAATCTTGCCCCTGGCATCGACTTGGAAACCAAGTCGCATCCAACTAAAATCGTGTTAATAATTTAGTTTATGCTCTTCCGTGAACACTGCATATACCAACAAAAACACTCACTGTTTCATCAAAGCAGTTCGTGGGCAGACATTCACAATTTTATTATTATGTGTGATGCTCCTCAACGCTTGCTGCCATACCTGTTAATGGAAAAGCCATGCAAGAGAAAAAACATGCAGTTTGAAAAGCATTTTGTGTGACATTTAGTTAAGTGAATAGATATTTGTACTTTACACATATTTAAATAAGTTGGTAAGGAGGATGTTCAGTTGCTGTTATTTTTTTTCTTTATGAACATGAAAATTCAATACTTGATTAAAATATGAAAAATAAATAATACCTAAGGATAATGGACACCGAGAAATTTAACAACTTTAACTTGAACGAGCACAGCTTCAAAAATTCCAAGAGGAAAGAAATACATTTTATCCTTATGCAAAATTTAAATTGTAGTTTAGCATAAACAACTTCCTAGAAAATATCTTCTATGTGTAATAGGTATTCCGGGGAAAGACTCTACAGTTTAATGACCTTACTAAAATTTGTAATATTTAAATTAACAGAAGAGCAATTCGTCCCTCTACCATTTAAAATTCCCAACAAGACAAAAATTAGGTCAGTGTACGTTCTGAAAATGTTATTTTAAATACCATGCCAGAAAAATATACACCCACACCATTAACCTACTTAGTCAAGAAGTGATTTATAAAAAAAATCCACACAGAATGTAACAAATTTAATATACATTTATTTCTATATAGTTAAACATGCAGTAGCAGTTTAAATTTTAAAAACTTACTGTTTTTTCAAACATGTCATAGGACAAAAATTATTTGCTTTGACATTATGAGTAATTTTTCTTAGACCATCCAACCATACCTTTAAAATAAGGATTATCTTATGAAGTATTTGAATTAAAATATTCAGTTTTTTACTATTATTTCTCAGATTTACTGCAAATACTACAAAATATCTTTTCTACTAAAATATTTTCATAATATGTCACCGAAGTAGTGAATGGTTAATTTTTATAGGTACTTACATTTTTACAAAAAATTTATTTTTTTTTTTTAAATTGAAAGCTCTAGTTTATGTTTATTATAATCTTTAAAATATGATGTGTACAAAGCTACATACCAGAAAGTAGGTACATAAATAAGTTATTTTAAACTTCACAGGAATGTTTACAAATGAAATTCCTGGTCAGAATATCGGTTGCTTATATCGAGAATAAAATAAAGTATTAGTTAATATTTTTGCCTCAACTTTTGAATTATTTACGAATATGAAACAATAGGAAACTGAGTGGGAAACTATTAGAAATTAAACTTTTAGTTTGAACATTATATTTTATACATAAGTATTACTATACATATTTTGAACAAAAAGTCCGTCTCAATATAGATTATATCGTTATTTATATTACCGACAAAATATCGTATGGGAAAAAATTATTGAATTTTCTGTAAAGTCATTGGACAAAATTGATGGTTTGGAAAACGGGTTATTTACCTTAGCTGTTTCAGCATTGGGGCAAACTATATGTTGATAGTTAATGTTAATGTAGTCGGTTCCACTACAAATAGTGAGAGATTTATCATCAAGATCTTGTCCATGTTTGCCGGAAAGAGTACTAAGTATCTTCGGATCTTTAGGCAGTCCACCAGCTCTGACATCACTAACTTGGCAAAGTTCAATAACGTCTCCATCCTTTAAAAGTACAAAACAATGAAGGCATCAATTAAAATTACTTATTTAAAAAATTCTATGAACAGGACACTCGAGGCAATTGGTGCTGAAATTAATTCGTTTAATATGTTATTAAAACTTACTCTTCCTTCTCCTTTCCAATAAATAAAGAAGCCATATTCGTCAACTTTAAATAAAGCTCTTTGCTCTATTTCACCATTATCCCTTTCTTCAGTCCATCTATCAAATACGCATCCAGTCAAAAGGGGCTCTGGTACTGGGATGTGCCAGTCAAACTCAAATTTCTTCGTCATTTTTTGTCATTGAATACAATGACGGAACTGCACGTGTAACACGCAGAATTAGTTGATCGTTAGCTTACATTATTTATGAATTATTACATTTATACTTAATAAATAAACATTTCTAAAATACGTCGACCAAAAAAATTAAGTTTATTTACTTTTGACGTTTGACGTGACGTCAGACGTCAATATTTTGATGTTTTCTGATTGGTTCAAATGTTCAAATTTATATAAATTTGTATGCAACTAGAAATACAGAAGCCTGTTGTGATATTGCCTAATCTTTGTTACATTTATTGTAGATTGAACCGCCAAAATTTAGATGTAAACAACATTATTACTTAAGGAACTTAAAGTTGTTGTCGATAATTAAAAATATTTTTAATTATTTTCTTTGCAGTTTAAGTTTAAAACTATGATTTAGGATGTTAAAATTGAATGCTAGTGCAATCGGTCATTAATAAAAAAAATAAAGACATACGTACAGTCAATTAACCATATTATAGGGATAGATATTATTACCTTATTATTACAACCAATGACAGCAGTAGTGATAGTTCTGCGTCTACACTAATGACTGAGGTAGATAATAGATATACTCGTATAACCATCATTGGGAAAGTAAGGTAAAACCCTATAGGGCTTTTTATTAAATTATCTTTAATTCACTAAAAATCTATTTTTAAAAAATCAATACGCTGTTTTTATTGAATTACTCGATATATTATGTGGGGTATTTTTATGGCTTGTGGCAGGAAATATACACCAAATCCTGGTCTTTGTTATAAAATCAAGATTTGGTTGTACATATTATTTACTTCAAAGTTTTTTATTTAAAATAAAACAAAATATTAATCTGGAGCTTTTAATAGTTTATATGTCAAGAAATGTAGGAGAAAAATGGAGATTCCAAGATGTTTCTTTTAATAAACATCCATAACTCGAAGTAGTTCATTGTATATTAATTTTTTCACATCATTAGCAAATAAAAAATCGCCATGGTTGAATTTTTCATAGGGAACGAGATAACTCTTTACAACTTGTGGCAGTTTAGAAGTAATCAATTGGATATCCTAAAAAAATTATTGAATTTTTAGCTGAAGACTCATTAGAGGTATTATGTGAAAAATATTCTTACCTTTACTCCAACAAATCTGTCATTCTGTGCGTAATAAAGTGCCACCGGTGCAGTAACGGCAGTTAAATTGTATTCTGAAGGATTTAATGTGCCGTAATTTCTAGAGTTTCCCTCAGGACCGTAATCAAAATGTTGAAACTTACCTGTAGAATTACGTTATTAACCATAGTAGAAAAATATGTTCAGAATTTAGTTAATTTGTTATGTTATGTGTATAACTCTGTACATATTCCCGTACAATGCCCGTACATTAAAAACTCACCTGATTTAACTTCTTGAAAAAAATGCAAAAATTGTTTACTGGACGCATCTGATGGGGTAGTTTCGAAAATTCTTGTGAAAACAGACTGAAAGTGATACAGGTTTGTATAATTTTAAGTAAAGTAATTTTGTAATACCTTGTTTAACTGGGTATCATCGCTATATCCGCCGCCAAATGTATAGAAAATTTCTCTGCACAAGGCAAAATACCGGTCATACTTGCATAAGTTTTGCAGGAAACTTCTAATCAGATCCAGGGCCGGAATATGATAAATGTGGAGCAGTTCTAAAACAGACTACAGAATATTCGTCATTTGAAATAAAAAATGTAAATAAATAGCAATATAAAATTGATTATATTTTTATTCTGGGTGTTTCACGAACATACTGAAGTGGTAGAATGAATACATGCAGTTCCTCATGAAACACCCTGTACACTTCACAGTTACTTTTATACGCCCTCTTGAATGAAAGGAACAACTGCTCCAATTCAACTATGACGAAACAGAGACACTTACTTGTATTCTATTTATATATTGTGACAAAAATTTGATTAGAGGTTCTGGGACATTATTGACTAATCCAGCGGGAGCCATTAGGGAAGCTAGTCGTATTTTATCGTTGTACTCTGGCTTTATAGACGCCATCACATAAAAAATAGTACCACCCTGCGAGTGGCCTATATAATATATTTTTTTCTGTTTTGTTACATTCAAAACATAATCTATTTTTGCGGGTAAGTCGATTGTTCCAATCTCATGCCAACTGAAATAAATATAAAGACACTAGAACTCACAGATCGGCTGGTTTCGTTTACCTGAAGTTGTAAAATTTTTCCGGGTGTAATTTCGGGTTCACGTAGACATTCCTGTTGGAGTAGCTGTTTCCTCTTGCGTTTCCAATCCAGACGTCGTAGCCTTTGTCAGCTAATACGTATCCTAGGCTTACTTTAGGGCCCATGTTAACGAAATCAGCAGAACTGGAGCCAATCCCATGCATAATAAGAACTGGTGCCTTTTTCCTTGAACGTTGGATACCTACAATTATTATTATTATTATTATTATTTATTATTATTATTATTATTATTATTATAATTNAACCTTGACTAAAATGTTTAGAGAAGAAAATTATTTTAAGATTACGACATCTCTGTTATATTTTACGTCTAGTATGTACGTCTTCTCCATGAATGTTCATTGTAATACTGAATGGCGGTAAGTCTGTAACCCCCCCTTAAGGAGCATGTACTAAATGTGAATAGTTTTGGTCAACCCGTTTGCTAGATATAAGCAAAAACATATCCTTTTACGACAACTTTAACACCCTGTATCTCGGAAATGAAGACGTTCATATATTATATGCTTTTTTATATGTTTTACTTACCTCTAGGTATTCTGTGAAGTACTAGGACATATCCATCTTCTGTTACAATTTTATGCGCTTCTGCGGGATATCCAAATCCTTGTATAATTTTTCTCTGTAATTATTAATTATTCTAACATTAAATTAAAAAACTAATGGACATTTTTTTTATTAACTCTGCAATCTTAAAAAACTTTTTAATCAAAATACACTCTTTAATCTACCCTCAAGAGAAATAAATAAACAATTTACTGCCGCTAAAATTGTTTAAAAATATATGTTGACACTTTCATACAATTTGTTGTATTTTCTAAATATTATGTTTGTACCTACTGCAATTACTGACATAGTCAAAACGCAGTTTTCTTGGTAGCTGCAAGAGTTTAAAAGATTATTTTGTTTATACTATAAATTGTAATATTATAAAATTCATAACTTAACTAATTACTTATAAGTACATTCGACCTTTTGTAAAATCGATTAAATATGTATTACATTTTTACGTCAACGGAATATGCACTTACTTACAGGATCTGCAATTTTTCTTATTGAAAAGTTGAATAGATCTGGACCACCCATTTTACTGTTCTTGCATTTCCCAGTCAATGCTGAAAATAATGCTGCAACAAATAAGGCGTTGACGAAAGCGATGACCATTTTTGCTTTAGACTTTAGAAGGTCGTGGTAGTAACTGCAAATTGTGAGTTATATTCTCAAATAAATGAAGTCGAAATGGGGTAATTGTATTGTAGAAATTTGTACAACTAATCGTTTTATAATAGTCCCACAAGGTTTCTAAAAGGAGACAAGCTTTAGTGCCAGGCAGGTAAAACGTTAAATTCACAACACTAGCAAGTGATGGTGCCTAAATATTTTTCTCTGGTATACATTTTTTGCTGTTGTTTAGAAAATTTCTTGTTACAAAGTAGTTCTGAGCATTCTGTGAATTTCGTACCACTATTTTTATTGGTTTAAAAAGACATTAAAGCTTTCCACAAATATAACTTACCTGAATAGATGAGACAAAGCACGATACTAGCAGAATCGAATCTATAGATATGCCAAGTTTATGAATGTTAATCTGTTTTAAGTGACTGCATAAAATTTTTCTTTTAAATTTTTTAAGTAAGCCATTTCGATGGGAAATTCAATTATCTGCAACATATTTCCTATGAACTATACCGAAATTTTGCTTCGTTTTCGTTTTATATTTAAAAAACTGCAAAAGTGCATTTTCACCCCTATCTTCAATTTCGATCCTCTAATTTAAAAGCATCCCGCGGTTTTTTCATTTTTAATGACTTTTCAAACAAGTCGTGATGAAAATCCTTGAACGTCTTATTTCCTTCCTTTTTTGCAAAAAAATGAGAATTAAAACGTTTAAGGGTAAAAGCGACGAAAATCGAAAAATTGGCTAGTTGTAAGTTTGAGCGGCTATATATCAGTTAATTTTCATCAAAAAATGCTTTACAACCTCTTATTTTGAAGGAAATTTTATCTACTCTTTTTATGAAGCAATGCCTATACCTATGTTTACTCAAAAAAAAAACTAAAGGCAAAAAAGTAAAAAAAAAAAATCAAAAAATCGAATTTTTTGCTTTTTTTTCAAATTGTTTATTAACCATTTTTTGCATTAAATTTTCCTCTTAATTTTTTTAAATAAGCCATTTCGATGGGAAATTTAATTCTCTAAATAATTTTTCCTATGAACTATAGCGAAATTTTGCTTCGTTTTCGAGCTACTATTAAAATAATAAAAGGGGTGCATTTTCACCCCTATCTTCAATTCCCACCCTCTAATTTAATAGCACTCCGCGGTTTTTTCATCTAAAATGACCCTTTGAACGATTCATGCAATAAAATTGCTTTCATAGTTCCTTTTAACCCTGTTTTTTTTTAATATAATCAATAGCCTATAAACTGTGGAAGTAAATAAGAAAGTTAGTTAAAAAAAATATGGATTTGGCAACATGTAAGCTTGTTATTTATAGAAAACATAAATCTCAAATTAGATGAATCTTTGGATCCTTCTAGACTTTCAGGATCTTGATGAGATAGGTGCGTAGATTCATATGAGTGAGTTCCGTTGACCGTACATTTCTTAGAAATACTATTATTAAATACATGTACTGAATTCCAAGATTCTCTGTTAAATAGATTTTTATACTACTTCAGATAATTTTTCATTCTAGATTCATTACTCTATGCCGAGCACCTTCAGATATATTGGAATAAATTCAAAAATAAATATTTTAAAACTTAACATTTTGAATCTTGAAAACCAGCGGTTTTAAACCCTTGGGTCATGAAGACTTTTAGTTCCAAAGTGCCTCAAAGAATAATTTCCTCAAGTTATGATAAGGACTTAGAAAATGTTGTATATAAGTAAGCAATGTATGTTCTAGTGTACTTTCTAGAAATAAGTATTCCTCTTAAACTTAGGTTAAAGCCGTCTTTGGTTCCTCGATAATTTACAACTTATTTTTTTATTTTTTGGAAAATATTAAACGAATATTTACTTACAACTGTTTTATTTGTGATACGGAGAACGTTAACAATGTTACCTTAAAAACAAAACTAATTATTAAAACCTATTATTTTAATGGCATCTTGGAATGAAGGTACAATCTAGCTCGTGAAGAGTTTTCATTGTTATAAATGACTCAAAGTCCATATCTGTTACAGACTTATGTTTAGATTTAATCTCGTAGTTTCTTATCACATGGGCCACAGTAGTTTTCATCATCATCAGTGCGTACTTCATACCTGGAAAATAGATTAAATTATTTTATTTTCTAGGAATTATGACTCATTTGTTCATATTTAGAAAATAAAATTCCGTTATAGATACCTATACAGTTTCGTGGTCCGCCAGAGAATGGAATGAATGCGTATGGGTGCCTCTCAGCAACTTCTTCTGGTAGAAACCTATCTGGGTTAAATTCTAAAGGATTTTTCCAGTAGGTCTCAGATCGATGTAGATTGAAGACACTAATCAGTATATTAGTGCCAGCTGGAATCTTCTTGTCACCTGAAATAAGATCGTTTTTGTCAGAATTTTACTGCATCAGATAATGTTTTAGAAAGAGAGAAAAGGGGGGGAGAGAGAGATGGGAAGCAGAATCATTTATTACTCCCTGGAACGATGACGGTGACAAAGTTGTTGGTGATAACAATATGTTATATATTATACAAGCTATGTATGATATAACCATTTTTTGTTAACGTATATTTTTATTTTCTGGGACTGTCCACTTACTACGATGTCATTGATTTTGTATTAGTGAAGTTTTTCTCGTATAATAACTTAAAAAATATATTTGAAGTCTCACCCAAGTCTACATCAGTTGCGGCGTATCTCTCGATGGCGGGAGTCACTGGAAGAAGTCTCATGGCTTCAAATATGGCCCTCTCAGTGTATTTTAAATTTGGCAAGTCGCTATAGCATATTGGACGTTCCCAACCCACAGTCTGATTTACTTCTTGGTAAATTTTTTCCTGGATGATATTTAATACCGATTATTATACTGGCAATATTACATGTAGTGTCTCTTTTTATTCTACAGAGTGGTGCATCAATCATAGCTCTATTATTCTTCAAGATACAAAAAAAGTGCTCTAATAAAAGTTGGCAATTTGCCGCAGTTTTTATGCATCTTCTGTGTATGTGAAAATAATTTTCTATTATAGTTCATTTATTCCGTCTTTTATTTGCACATTTTTTTTTATATCTCGAATAATAGAGCAGTTATATTTTGCTTGGAGATATGGAACTATTACCTGCGCTTCGGGATTCATTCCAAATAATGTGAATGCAAAGGAAAGTGTAACTCCGGAAGTGTCCATCGCCTTAAGAAAACAAAAAAAAAAGGAAAAATGTGCAAGTCATCACCTATTTTTTAGAAAATTATACTTGTTTTTTTACTTACCGCTAACAAGAATAAGACAATCTCCTGAAATATGTCTTCATCTGAAAATATCTTCCCTTCTGCTTCCAACATCATGTCCATTAAGGGTAACTTGTTGCTGTTTTCCCTAAAATCTGAGATTGAGCGTAAAATAATGAACATTACCCAGTTACAGAAATGTGAAAGGATATCTTCTAAAATATATATGCGGAGTTCAACAAAAACGCAAAGGCAATATTTTGTTTCTCGAATGGCAGTATTATTTGAATAGATAAGGAATAACATTTTGGCATGTATGTATTTTATATTAGAAGACCCTGGATTGGCTTTATGAAAATGTGGGCTCGGTAAAAATATCTGAAATTGTGGTAAGTTGTTCGTAAGGCGTTTGTATTTGAAGTAATCTATTTTGTTGTACAGAAAAATTACAAATATTATGTAGAATAAGAATCCAAGTTTGTCTATGTCAAAAAACCATTGCTAAATTCAGGGTAACAACAAACATACAAAAAGAACGAAACATTACCCGTTTTTCGACATATTTTTCCCTGTAACATTGAAAGTAAGCCCTAAATCAAAAAAAGTAATTCTTTATTTTTAGTTTATTTGATGATTTTCTATAGTTACGACAACTGCGTATCAAAAAAGTTGAATTTTGCATTAACAATGGGCGAAAACTAGTAGAAAATTATATGCATATTTGGAGCAATTTTTATAATAAGTAAATATTTTTAAATATTAAAACATATGTCAATTCTACCCTAAAAATTTTGCACCGATTTATAATCATTTAGAATTTTTTTTTATTTTTCAACATTTTACGTTATTAACAATTGCCCAGGGAATTTTCTGTGCAAACGAAAAAATCTTGCACACATAAAAACTACGTTGTAACCCTTTGTTTTTTAGCCAAATACGACAGCATTCTACTGTGTAGATTCTGAGATATAGATCATTAAAATAAAATATATTTTTTTAATTTAATCATTAAAACGTGGATTTCGCGGAACGCATTGATGAACACAAGCTAATAAAACTTGATTACCATAATATAATTATTGTTTAAAAGCAAACGAAAGTGGCATAATTCTTTAAGCTCAAAATTCGTGCAAAAATTATTTATTTTATTGATTTTTGATGACATATTCGTATTCTTCTCATTTTGCTATATTGTATTTAAAAAAAATCGTCTTGATAAGTGCTACTGTTCCCGAGAAAAGTCATCTTTTATCGCGCATACGCTTTACGCTTGTATATCTCAGAATCTACGGAGTAGAATGTTGTTGTATTTGGCCAAAAGCAACCGGTTACGAGTAGTTTTAATGTTTGCAAGATTTTGTCGATTGCATAGAAAATTCCCTGGGCAGTAAATAATTGTTTATAAAATTTAAAAAAAAATCTAAATGGTTATAAAAGTGTAAAAATAGGTAGTTTTAGTGTTGATCATTGTTTATTATGACAAGTATCTCTAAAAAATTGTGTGCCTTTTCTATACCTTAATTTAAACCCACGGTAAGCGATAACCTTTTTTTAAATTTTCTTAATTAACAATCCTGTTAATCGAAAACCACGCGATCGATCGTCGCAAAATTTTTAGGGTAGAATTAACATATAATTTACTATTTGTTCACAAAGTTTCATTAATATTTATAAATATTTACTTATTTTAAAAATTGCTACAAATATACATAGGACATTTTACTATTTTTCGCCCATTGCTAATACAAAATTCAACTTTTTTGATTCGCAGCTGTGGTAGCTTTATAGAAAATCATCAAATAAACAAAAAATAAAGAATATATTTTTATTTAGTGCTTACTTTCAATGTTACGTGGAAAAGTATGTCGAAAAACGGGTAATTTATTGTTCTTTTTGTATGTTTGTTGTTTCCCTGAATTTAGCAATGGTTTTTTTGGCGTAGACAAACTTGGATTCTTATTCTATATAATATTTGAGATTTTTCTGTACAACAAAATAGATTACTTCAAATACAAACGCCTTGAATGCTTTACCGTCAGGAATAGTAGGAAAGAATTAATTTTCGAACCCAGGTACTGTGCAGACTCTTGATCAGTAACACAAAACCAACAACTTACTACAATTTCAGATACTTTTACTGAGCCCACATTTTCATAAAGCCAATCCAGGGTCTTCTAAGGGTGGTACATATATTTACAATTTTTTTTATGCTCAACTGATAAATACAATCAGGTGTTTATTTTGTGAAGTAAATTTTTCTTCATAGTGATATCTATTTAAATTTTAATGTGACATTAACATTCAAACTTCATAATACTGTAACTTGAAGAAAAATGAAAATTTTGTGACAAATGAGAAATTATCTATTTGTACTCGATAACTCAAAGAACCCTATATTCATTTTTCATTTCTTTCAAATATTTTTGTTCATGAATGATTTTTTTTTTTTTATGTTAGATACAACCATTGGATTAGACTTAAAGCTGTGATTGTAAATGCTTATCTAAATTTTTACAGAAGAACTAATAACTTTGTTCACACTTACCTTTTTCCTTCTTAAAGACTTGCCTCTTCTGCTGTATTGTCTGTAACATAAAACCCCCATCATTATGAATTTTGAATGACAAGTGCTTTCAGTTTCAAAAATAATTAACGCTAATTTTATTAATTTACAGATATTTATTAAGAGTTTTAAGATGTGGAATTGAGGAGTTTTAAGTGGAAGACCTTTTATAGTAATTAAAAAACTACAGTGTATTTTTGTTTTATACTCACGTTATAAATGAACTCCCTTATCTCCAAAAAGTTTCTTAGCATAGATCTTCCCGCAGGGGTGAAAAAATATAAATATGTCGGGATAAAATATGATGTAAACATTCGTTTGCCTGCTCCTGTTTGCAATCTGAAATAGTTTTAATAAAAGCAAATTAATAAATGAGAAATCCAAAAGGATCTTAACTTTACCTATCTATGAGTGGTACCAGTCTATCATTTATAATCCTTTGGACGTCCAGATCAAGACCCATCACGTTTGCTGAAACACTAATAGTAAGATTAATATTTCAATTAAAATTTAAAAATAGTCACCGCAAAAGTTGTCCAGGGAAAGCCTGCAGAAGACGTCGTACACATCCCTTTCATGGCTTTTTTTGAGTATTTCAACTAATATACAAGCTTTGTCGTAGAACACGTCTACGAAGCTGTTTAAAATTGGCTGGCTGAAACTTCTAGAGTATATCTTGCGATTCCTTTTCCACTGATCATCTAAAAGAATAACTTATATAACTTACGATATAATGGGGGTGTTTCTTAACTCGACTGACAACAGTCTACAAATACTTGGTCAAAATTAACAAGAAATGGTCAAATAAACTGTAGGTTAATTCTAATTCCTTATAAGGACATCCGCTTGACGAGAAGGCAACGTTTTTTTTAATATATCATGATGAGAAGCATGAAAAAGTAATGGTAATTGAGAAAATTATTGCTCTTGGAAAATCTAGGTAAACATTTTTTAAAGTATGTACATCTTATCTTTAAATGGACAGCAAATACCTCAATTGATGTCAAAAGAACGTTTTTAATTGCTCTTCAAGTTTTAGCATTACCATTATTTATATACATTACAAAATTAAGACTTTATCTAACTGTAGTTGAAATTTTACTTACACTTTGCAAGAAGGATACTTTTTTCGAAAGCTATCTTAATATTATCATAAATAGCACCCTTGTCAAATGTACTGGGGTGATTCAGGACCACTTTTACTTCCGAAGCATCTGCTGTAACGTAATGATAATCATGGCCATTCCACAAGTTACAGGGTAGGCCATGTTCCTTTTTGAGATTTTCAATAACTGAGAATATGTCTGAAAAGGAAGTAAGTTGTTTACAGTATGCATCTGCAGAAGTTTCTTATATATTGTACAGGGTGAGTCAACGCTGTGGCAAAGTTGATTTATCGCTAGAATATAAGAAATACTCATTGATTCGTTTTCGGAGGGATGACCAAAATTGTATTTTTTTCAAATGTAACACCCTGTATATTTTAACCGCATGTTAAAAACCTTCTCAAAATCTACACTTTCATAATAGGTGTTATATATCAGTTCCTCATATTTTACGACATTTTTAGCAATTTCTTTGTGTGAAAATATTCTAGGGAGGCATGGGGACCGCCTAGCCGGGTGTCTTGGCCGGCGGATTTCGATCTGCTGAGGCAAGCATCACGGACGCAGGCTGGAATTTGGATGGGTGACCTAAGGCAGGCTGGGGGACGTGGCTGACCTGGGTCGCCCAACATTTGCCGCATGCGTGCGGTCCCCGATAAATGGTAATGAGAACAGAGCAAAGACCATGCTATTTATAACTAACTATAACTCAAAACCATGCTATCATACATAAACTTGTACGAGACTTTGTCACCAAGCCACCCGTGTAGTAAATAGGATGGTTTGAAGAAAAGTACTCGAGTAATGAAGGAGGGTGTACAAGGGGCCTAATAAGGCCTAAGTGCAGCGGTGGAAAAACAATTCCACCACCCTCCGACGTACATACATACATACATTCTAGGGAGAAATTGAAACAAAAGAAATGTTTGTAACTGTCAATAGTTCCTGTCATTAGCTTTGACTGTTGAAGTAGTGTTCTTCTGTGATACAAATAGTTATTCTTAATTAATTAATATTGTTTGTATGGTTCTGTTGTTACACTTGTTCGTAATGAATTTCTCAAGAGAAGATTGTATCAATATGATATGGGTGCTAGGAGAAGCTCAACAAAATTGTCTCTATCAAATGAAGTAGGTATCCAGAGCACCGACAACCTTCTAAAAAAGTCTAGTATTTTAATAGAATCTTTTAATTCTACTGGAAATGTATCTTGATGAAATTTATCCTAATAGATGGATTGGTCGAGGTGGGCCACTGCGAGGGCCTCCTAGATTATGTGACCCTACACCACTTGACTTTTATTTTGTGGGTGTTTGTAAAAGACAGGGAGATATAGAGCCATTGTAACACTTAATAAAACATTGTTTAACAATAAATATATATTTTGTTATCATATAAAAGATGTCTCATTCACTAAAAATTCAATAAGAATAAGAAATAAGCGGCATAATTTAGGATTACTGTTCTTTTCTGCAAAAAGTAAAGATACATTTTAAGCAATGCTTTTTTGTTTCAACTCATTATCTTATTACTCATTATCTCGGAACGACTGATTTTTGGCACAGTACCTATTACGAAGAAGTTGCATAATACCATGTAAAATATAAATATCCACTTAAATACAGGGTGTTCCATTAAAAAAAATACAACTTTGGCCTGCCCTCCAAACACGAATCACCCTGTATAAGTCAAATTATTTTTAAAATGTGTATTTCTTGCCCCCTCACCCGAAACTATTTTGAAATATTTTGCCTCTATTATATTTTAGCGATAAATTAACTTTGCCAAAGCGTTGACTCGCCCTGTATATTGTTATTTGTACTTAGTAAGTTATTTGTAAGTATTTGTTAAGACACAATTGGACACAACATGATTGGAGGCTAACCACCTTTGTTGAAAGTCAAAACTTTTTTATTCTTACAAATTAATAAGTCATACTATATCAAAAGAGCTTCCAAATAAGCAAAAAATCCTCGAACTGGTTTTAGTCATTCGAAAATATTAATACTTCTATAGAATGTTAAAATACATGAAAACATCTACATCTATTACAATGAACTTTTCAATTTATCTTCTCAGTTAATAGTTGTAACGAAACTTACGCTCTTTTTTAACCTTTCGTTCTTAATCATTAAGAAAAAATTGAAGTTTAAGCAGATGTTAGTCACCTTTCCCAATCGTGTAATATCCGTTTCCAAAGACAGGATAAAATCTGTATCCTTTGAAATCCCTGGCAAACTTGAAGATGCGCCTTTTCCTGACGAGATCGCACAGCACCAGAATCACAACGAAACATAAAAAGCAACTTAATCCCACGAAAGCTTTTTCAGCGAACGCTATCACTGCACTGAAAACCATCCTGTTAGAGTGGACACAAATTATGAAAATGACCGGTTTATTCCGTGTTTTCCGTTTTCTTTCTGATGTATGCCTAATAGCGCAGTGGCGTCTCTAGAATATTTCTCGAGTGGGCACAAATATAATGAAAATCTTATGTGAGAGCAGCAAAACTTATGAAAAGCTTTGTATGCGGCTAAGAAATTCGAATATCACAGATGTTTTCACAGATTAGTTCTTCTAAATTCTTCTTAACAACCTAATATTTTACACCGCACTGAAGGTCGAAGTCGAAATAAAATTTAATAAGATTGAAATGACTTGTTCAGCTAATTATCGTTATAAATATATTTTTTTAAAATTTAATTTATTCCGAAGTTCAAGAAATTGTTCATTATACAATTTTTAATACAAAATATGCCCACAAAATAATTACTTATTAACATTAATGACTTAAAATAATCATCAAACGAGTAGAGGATTCACGGTAGGAGAAATTTTTTAATTCTAGTTTGAATTTATTTTGTGATTTTATACGTTCATCTGTAACAGGCGTAGACTTTAAAGAATCAAATTTAATACCGGTATCATATCTCTGTTGGCAATATTCGACAAATCATTAAGTCATAATAATAAATAAAATTGGACCAAACTAACCGCCCTGAGGCACCCCACTCTTATTCAATAAAAATTTAGATTGGGTGCCATTTTAACTAATTGAGGGCTATGTCTCTAATTCCAATCTTTTCCAATTTCTGAAATAAAATAATATGATAAACCATATCCGACGCAGAATTGAAGTCGAAAAAAGCACCGTAGGTATTGTACTTATTATTTAAGCTTTCCTGAAGAAATTTAATACTTTAATTTATCTCACAGCAAAGTGAGACATTTTTTTAAACAATTTCCATGTCAAATTCTATGAGATTGATAGAAACACGACATTGAGAAACATTTTTATGTGGAATAACTTTAATATACAGGGCGTCACTAAATTAGCACAGGGCAAGAGTAGATTCCTGATGCCAAAATACTAAGTAGTTAAACTTAAAGTTAAAATCTTGGAAAATTGCTTTGAAAATTTGGATTCAGGGATTAGAAAAACTAATGGAAAATATAGGTACGTATTTTCCTGTAGACTACGAGAAAAATGGACTATTAAATCCAGTCATGTACAATTTACATTTGAAATGTTTAACTATCTTCTGAAGTACTTCCCAATACTTAAGAAGAAGCTTAATAACATTTACAGATCTCTTCAGAATATCGCTTTCTTCATCAGAACATTAAACCCTTTGGAATACATCAAACTAACCCTTCATTCTGCGCCACTGCATTAATCCACGTCTCAAGTAACATTCGCTTTGCTGTTATTAATGGAAATCCTTTCACATTCAATTGTTATTGAATTTTACCTTTTTCTTTCGTACTTGAAGGTTTCTGTGATCGGTTAAAATAATGTATTCAAATATTAATAGATTAAGATTACTTTTCTTACTGTCAATGTATTGCCCTCGTAGATTTCAATGTCTTACTAAGAATTGGTTTCAGCATAATTAAAGACAAATTATTCTCAGCTAAAAGCAATACAATTAAATAATGTTTAATATAACAATTGTTAATAGTTTTTCGTTTAATAGCACCATTTGTAGATGCTAAGTCCAAATCGGTTGTCGTTCAATTGATGAAATAAATATGCTCCAGGCCCAACAGAATCAGTAAGGGGTTAATATTAAATTAAATAATTTAATATGAAACAGTTTTTGCCTGATTTCAAACCTCATTTTGAAAAAGTAGGCAATTTAATTTATAGACCAAATAAACAGATACTTTTAGTATTAATTGGCTGAAATGACTTGCTCAATATTTCTAAAAATCTTTGACGTAAGTAAGTACACTTGTAGAAAATGTCTGTTCAGTATCCTGTGTTTAAACATTAAGTAGTTCTTTTTTTAAAACGGCGTATCAATAACTGGTTACAATTTATAAAAGGTTGATATTTACTATACCTTAATAAATAGAGACACTATCTTTAGATAAACTGTAGATTGGCGGATTTTAGGTTGCCTCCAGAAAAAGCAGATACAATCTACCCCACGCTGTTCATATTGACTGAATTTTTTTGAAATGAACCTTGTTGCAGGACGAGATTGTCACTTGTAATAAATAGTCAGGTAAAAATACAAATTTTTATATTCTGCTGTATTTCAACTACACAAAAACAATAAGCATCAGCAATAGAAAAGTATTGATAAGTGCTATTACAACATTCCAGCCTTCAATATTGTAATAACACACCTGTAGGCCTTTCCGCTAAGAAATAATTAGTGATACGATTATTCTGTGTCAACACATTCAATTTATGCAAGGCTATTTATGCATATGCAGACTCTTAAGAGACTTACATCCGTATCTGATTGATAGATCGAGGAAATTTTAAGTGTTTAGTTTCGTTCTTAAGAGAATATCTAGACTCTACGTACAAGAGTTCGTTGTATGCATTAATACGCAAACATAATAGTGGCGTTTAGTTTTTTAGTTAAAGAATATGATAATCCTTCCAAAAATGCATACGCTTTTGGCCTTATGAGTATTTAATTTCTTTACTTTACAATTAGGATCACAATATAAATTCTATTTTTCTTTTTTTTTGTAATCGTTTCGTTATTGCTTTCAAATCGTAAAAGAATTTCGTATAAATTTCGTCTTTACCATTTTTTCCTACACAGAAAGATAAAAAGGTAAGGATGGTAGTATGTTATAAGCCTGGAAATAAGTGTTTACAATACATTATGTATAACACCATTTGTTTTACATTTAAACATACAACTGAACCTGAAATTAGAGGTCATTGGATAAAATCTTATAAAATTACGGTTGAATATACAAGGTGTTAACGAAATAAGTACTCAAAATTGGAGAGTATGTAGAACATGTCGAAATATGATGAAAACCTTAGTAGAATTTTTTCAGTGGCGGCCCCTAAGGGAGATACAGCCCCTTGAAGGGGTAACTCAGGAAACAGTTTTTATTTCATAACTTCAAAACGGTTTAATATTAAATCACGAAATTTTGGGGTTTGTACTTATTTCGTTAACACCTTGTATATAATACATAGTAGGTATTGCAATAGTTTTTAACACACATTCAGGTAGCAATCTGTTTTTCAAGGGCGAATGTATCATTTTTATTTGCATTAATTATGCGGATATCATAGCGGAAAAGCCATATTATGAGATAAATTAAATGCTAAAAGTTTTAGTAATTAAACAATTGTTCTTTCGATTCCTCTCCATTGTTTTCACTTGAAGAGTCCTCTTCTCCATCACCTCGCGAGTTAATGTCGTGAGTATGTCTGTTCAGGGGCTTATCTAAAAAAATATCAGTAGGAGTCATTTAAATATATCGCAAAATATGAGAAGATATAACTAAAAATCAGTAAGGATTCATTTAAGGAAAATGGTTATATCTATGAAAAAAAGTATTCCAGTATTTTGTTTATATCTTGTTCTGATTTTACTGAAATATATATTAAAATATTTCGCATTAGATCAAATCATGCTTTGTATCCAAAACATACACACAAAATAGAACTAGCCGAAAGTCCATACTGTTACAATTCAAACAGAAATCTTGCAATATAATTTGAAAGGTTCTTAATTTTCAACACAACCGGCAGATAATATCCCTGGTGTGTTGCAATCAATCGCGACTCACGATTTGAGGTGACATTGTTACATCCACAAAAAGAAAACTCAGTCATTGAATCATTTAAATATGAAAAGGTGCGGGAGGACCACACGAATTTTATTGCATAAAGATAAAATTCTCATTTAAATAACATAACGAAACATGGATTTATTCGAAATGTATTTTTAATTCACAGAATTATTGTCAAGGCTATATAAACCATAACTATGAAGTATGGTTGTTAAAACAAATACATACATATTATATAAGTTCGTTTTGAATGTTGTTGGGCGGATCAGTGGAAATTTTGTCTAAATAATCCTGAAAGTGATATAAATAAAAACTTAACCTTAGCAGAGAACGAAGTATAGGTAAACTTTTAGTGGGTACAATTTCTATAACGCTGACCTAGATTGTCAATCAGTGTCTCTGTTTCTAAGCGATTTATCTAAATGTTACAGTTCATTTAGTTATAAATTTTTATGATTTTAGATTTCATGTTCACTTCATTCATAGTCTTTACATTCATTAGGTACAAACCAGGTCGGTAATATGAATTGAATATTTGGAAAGTTTAGTGAAAAAGTTAACTGACTGAAAGAATTTAAGAAGATGATTAGAAGAACGATTCGGTTATTTTATTACATTTTAATAATCAACCCTGCTATTTGTTTCTTTTTCATTTTCATTTCCTTGCCTTCTATCAATACTCTAATTGGCATGTTTCTTAAGAATCATGCAACTTTAATTCTTTTAACCAACAGTGTTCGTTTAGGTAAATGTTTACTTATCTTGGACTTAGACAACTCATAGTGTGGTCGTAACATCAACATTATCTGGACCTTGCAGTCATCATTACGTATATTGATGTTTGCTTCTAATTAAGTTGATTACTGTATTGGGAAAACATCTCGTTTTTTAATCTTCCTTTGTTGATATTTGCGGGGATTATATACAGGACCAAATTAAAAAATTGGAGGTGATCATATTCTGGTTTTTAATAAAGGACAGTCGAGTAGGTATTGATTTCATAATGTTTTGACCCTTTCAGTATTACACGTGCTGATATTAAAACTAATTGGCGGTTATACAAAAAATGTGAGGCACACAATGCATTTGTTTTATACTTTATTCTTTACTGAATAAAAGCGCCATAAAAATATTTTTTCAGTTGTTTTGTCTGTTCGCCAATAGAATACTTTATTTTTTTCTGTTTATTAGATTAAAATATAGTAGAAATGTTTTGTATGAAAACGTTTTGTTTGTGGATCGTGTTCGGATTTATTTTTAAGTTTTTGTTATTAAATATTTACTTGTCGAACGTATACGCAATTAAATGGTGTATGAAAAGCAAAATAATTAAAATTGTTACCGCTATTCCACAAAATATACGTCCAGGGAGAGCCATCTTCGATCTTCGATGAAGACCGCCCTATTCTGGGCCCAAACCATATTCCAGAGTTGGAATCACTTCTTTTTTCTGTATTTTCATCAGCTGTCCAAGATGTTGATGACCGGCCTACCCTTGGGAAAGCCATGAGTTTTCCAAAGCGTTTATCTTCTAAAATGAGTAAAATTCATATATTTCTTAAGTACAGCTACATTGAAAATGCCGAAATGACGACTAATCGCTTTTACTTGAGACAAAATTTCAACAGAAATGGAAAAGGCTCGTGGAAAAGGTATTATAATAAACCAGTTGGTTAATTTGATTTGAATACATGCAAATAATGAAATGTAATCATTTCCTTCCTTTAATACCTGTTGGAAAATCCCATAGATCGTCATCTCCATACCTCTTGCCAACTCTTATAACATTTTGGAGCCCGCGCCGGACTGGTGTCCTAGTTGGTTCTGAAAATGAAAATTAATCACGGATATTTTAATTATAAATGAAGAAAGAAGGACTCAATTTGTTAATTTTGATTTACCGGGGTGATTAATTAAGTACTTAATTAACTAATAAGGTAACTGCATTCTTAACAAAGTGTTTCTTCCAAAGTGCTTCTAATCATACAAATTTGCGTTCTGGTAATAAAGGCAATAATTAAAAATTGGTGAAAAACAAATTGATGAGATAATTTATTGAAATTTGGTACATTCCAATAGTTTCTAGAAAGCATAACAGTGTATTTATTCTTATTTCTGATGTAAAGTCAAATAGGTCGTTTAAGACATACTTCATAGAAATTTATTTTCTTTATATTTATAGATAAGCTAATAATTAATAATACTACTAAATAATAATGGATAAATTACATCCCGACTTACACCATAAAGGAGGTATTATTTACCAGTCGAGGACGATTTTGCGCCCGAGCGGAGCAAGGGCTGGCAATAGTGTCTGAGATCGGTAAATTATACTTAACTGCTGCGAATTTTTATAGCCCGAGAAGTCGAAAGTGTGCTACGGACGAGCATACAGAAACTTCAAAGAATTTTTGTATAATTTAAAAAAGAATTAGATTATGTTTCAGGAAAAATGAAATTCAAGAAATGGATTATAGTCGTTTATATTCTAGCTAAGTGTAATATGACGTCTACAAAAATTAATTAAATTTCCTCAAGTTTTATTGCATAAAAAATATTATCTAAATGATCCTGCTAGATACAAGCTATGTAAAAGAAGTGCATACAATTTTGCCGCAATAATAGGCGCAAGCAGGTGAAAATGTCCTCATTATCCTCTGACTTTTCCAAGAATTCATCATCATTATGGCGAATATCCCAAGGCGATTCAGATATTACAACGCTCTAAATTAAAAACTTAACGTAAGAAACTTTTAATTGATAAAAAGCTCCACTACTTCGTATACCTTTTCACTTAATGAAACACCTACATATAATATGGAGATATTGCAGCAGATTTCCTTAAGCAGATTGACTTACCGAAAATAATTCTACTTGGTTTAGCCCATTCAAATTAAAATTAAGAAAATACATAATTTTTACTTGATTCCTCCCCTAAAAACTTGAAATGGGGTGCTTGGTCTGTATATTTGAAGCTTATTGATAACAAAAAGTAGTTGTATTGGATTTATACGCATATGAAAGTTTTAACACAAATTATTTTTCTGGCGTTTCTTAAAGTATTACTTTTTTGGGGTATTTTTTCATACTGCAAATTAAGAAATTAAGAAAAGTAAATAAACTTCTATGGCATAAGGGTCTATGATTGTGTAGTTTTCAATAATTTTGGGAAAAGGTGAGACCAAAAGAAGACTAGAATAATCGGTTTTTAATTTGTTAAACAGAGGTGTCTAATTATTACAAATCCTCAAAAATAAAATCAAATAGAGTGTGATTCACTTTAGGACGTTCACCAAGGAAATATCGGAAAAATGGAGCATAAAACTGGTTAATTTACAAAAAAGGTGCACGATGATAAGCGCAATGTACTGCATTAATAACATGAATTAAAATCATATGTATAAAAACAATATCGACAGATACATTATTTATTATTAAAAAGACAGAAATCAACCGCTTATAGCAACGAGTTCGTTGTTCTTTCAATTACCGTAAAAAATTAATACATTTTCACTCAAAATAAACACAAGTTTTTGTTTAAGCGAGTTTTTTTAGAGATTTAAAATTAAAATAAATGTATAGGCCATAACTTATTAACAAATTTAAAACGAACTCAGTTAAAAATTACAACATAAATATCGTTGTCACAAGTAGTTACAATCAGATGCTTTATAATATATTATTTAATTTAATCAGACAAAGCGATGCACTAGCCAAACAGGACATAGCTAATATAATGCGAAGCATTGCCTTACTGTTAAAAATGTTGGTGAAAATTCGAAATATTTGGAACTATTCAATTTTCGTGGTTGAAAACACACAAAGTTATTAAATTTTCGAAACCGAGAGAGATGCATTAACCAAATTTGGACAGGACATAGCTAATACAATGCAGAACATCACCTTAATGTTAAAAATATTGTCACCGTCGTTACTGGTGGTGAAAATTCGAAATATTTGGAATTATTCCATTTTCGTGGCTCAATACATACATACCAATTGAATTTTCGCAACAAGAGAGCTGCACTAACCAAATTTGAACAGGGCAGGAAAACGATATAACAAATCGGTAAATTGGTACTTACATAGAATACTAGCAAACTGTTCTACTTTTCTAACAAACGATTCTACAATTAATTCCAAATTTAAATTTTGTATAATATTTTTTTCAACGTATAAAATAACTAAAGCAGTAAGCGTAAGTTGCCTAATGTTTCATTTAAAATGATCTCTTACCACTTGCACTGGAAGACAGTCATTATTATATATTGCCATATATTTAAATAACATTTGGAGAGAAGAAGAAGTTAAAAACAACACTTCATTGATCCTTGTTGCGCAGAAATTATATTTATTATTTTTTTAAATTTATAATGTAGCAAAATATTTTAAAAAATTAACGAAAAAACTTAAAATGGATGTTATTTCAACAACAGGAGCTTAGTACGACATATTGTAATGGTTTCTTTTTAAATTATTTTAGTAAATAAGACTAGAAAACTATAAAGAGAATGTGTAAATATGAATATTTAAGTTTATGATGATATTATGTTTGTAAACTTGATTGCTGTTAACCCTTATCATGTACAAAGTTCAAACTATACGTAATTCTGCAGAATATCTACTAAGCATTTCAAATTAGAAAATAACAATATCCTTCTGACAAGTGTCTAAAAAACTATTTCAACTTAAAGAATAAAGCTGTGCCCAACAGCTAAACCTTTATACTATCTCTGAATATAACTGTACCACCACATCGTTCTTAAAAATATGTCCTAGTAATTTTGGGCTTGGTCTTTTGGCACATAAAAATTGTTTCGTCGAAATAATCCCGTTAATCAGAATTTGAATTTGAAATTATCAAAAAACAAACTACGGGTTTTTAAATTAAAAAAAAAAATTTCTTACCGGTGGAAGCCGCAAAGTCGAGGACGATCACTAGAACGAAAAATTTCACACTACAGAAACTAAAAAAACCCATCTTCGGCCCTACGACTGGATGGTGGTGGGAAAGTTGCAACAGGTGAGACAATACTGTACTTTTAGGGGATGCTCTGTTTTTATAACGTCGGTACAGGGAGGCCCGTGCGTCATGCGTACACAAATTTGAATTTAAAAACAATTAACCGCAATAAAAATGTTCGATTAACGGAATTAATGTCATTTAATCAGCAATGAATAGTCTCACATGAGCGAGGAGCTCATTTCACATAATTTTCAAAATACTTTTAGATACATTAAACTTTGATACATTATTTACTTTCAAATAAATAAAAGCGCAGTCAGAGAAAAAGCTTGTGGGGAGGCCAAAATGTAAGTGAAGTAAGTGAAATGCCTCCCAAAGAAAACAGATCTCTATAATAACCAAAAAATAAAATTTTCGTGTTGAATTGGAAATATTTTCCCTCTCGTTCTAGCTCCCCTCTAGCTGTGTCACTGTAAGAGATATATTGTTCATTTTTAGTAATTTTGTGAAGCTCATTAACTTTTTATATGAGAAAATTTTAAATTCTCTTTTTCTTCTTTCCTATTTAATTTTTTTCTTAGAATCCAGAGGATAGTCAATTATATTACTCACTATTTCTGAAATTATAAAATAATATACACATTTGAAGAGTCTGTCGGAAGTCATTTGACTTTCCCTCAATATAAATCTATCAATATCAGCTATTCTTTTATTTCGAAAAATATTGCCCAATGTAAATTTACCAATATAGGCTGTCTAGTAAAGAAAGTAATATATTTCAAAACTTTGGATTTCGCTTCCTAAAAGAGTTACAGGCATTAACTAAAGACTTTTCCGTAATTCAAGCAATTTTTTTTATTTCATATTTTTAACACAACTCACTTTTTAAAACATTCCAATAATGCTGTAGAGGGGTTTTTAGGACATTTACAACTCTTTTTTGTGTAAAACATAGATTTCCAAGAATAATCAGAAATTTGATTAGAACTCACATAAATTATCTGATAAATTATCAAAGAAGAAATGGTCTTTTTTTTTTAATTCGCGTAAAAATGCCAGTAATCGATTGATGTAATAGACATTATCGGGAAATGAAAATCGAAAAAGATATTCAAGAGACACGCGACCAAAAAATTTTTACTTTTTTCAGTAATTTTTGGACACTTGAAATGAATAAAATCGTTATTATTCTTTTTTACCATGAAAGTACAGCTCTTAAGGAAAAAAATGAGTCCTAATTCGCTTCTCTGCGACTATTCGTCGAGCAAGAAGAGCCGATTTTCGAAATGACCTTTTTTTCGAAAAATCGATATAACTCGAAAAATTTTTAATATTTTTTAATTTAAAAAAATTAAGTTTTTTTGCTTGCCGAGGGCTACATTTACAGCAAGTAACAAGTTTCAAAATCTTAATTTGCAAGAGATACAGCAAAAACAAAAATAGTCGATTTTTCACGGTTTTTTCGATATATCTAGAAAAGTAATATAACAATCGATATATTTAAAAATTTGAATCGATGAGTTTTTTTAATAGTTACAATTTTCTCATTTAACTTTTTTCGATCGACGTTTAAGTATTTTTTTGATTAGCGAAAAACGTTTTTTTTTGACTTTTATGAATTTTTTAGGTTAACTTCACCATTTATGCGCCACAGGAAAAACCACTATTTTTATTAGAATTTATTTTCCTATATCACCATATTTTTTGTTTCCAGGTGGTATTTTTTGTAAGCTCTTCTACCTATTGATTGGACTAAAAACTGTATTCTCTTTGTTTATTTCACAGAACATCCACTTTATTAATACAGAGTGCTTTGGAAAAAAGTACCATAAATTCAAGGCCTGAAGAACATCAAAGAATGTTATGGACCATGGGCATCTCATCTCGAAAACAAAAGACAATAGGTCCATGGACCACAGGCAAGAATCTTTTTATGTATTTACTGGTGTTCTATGAGTTACGCTATGTATAACAAAACAGCATTTTACAATGATGATGTGTTTCAATTAACAATGACGTAAAAAACACCCTGACTATATTTTCTTTTCCATTAACAAGTACTTAATTATTCATCTTGCTAACAACTGCGAAATAATTTATTCTAAATAATAAATTGCCCCTTCATGCTCTTCTAAACACGTTTTGGAATTTATTTTTAGCTGAAAATGTGTTTTAATAGTATATGATTAAATTGTTCGCGTTACACAGGTTGTTTGTAAGTAATCTCTGGTTACAAACGTTCTTAAAACGGTAAGTGATATCTTGCTGAATGTTGTAAATGAGTTGGGAATGTGGGCGATTTCAGTTATTTGTTATTTCTAATTTGGAAGAGGTGTAACATAATTAACACATCAAATTAGTTGATTTTAGCAAATTTTTCAGATACAGCCTCCAGATACAAATATCATTTTGCCTGGCCTACACATACAAGTTTATTTTTAATACAGGTAGATATTGTGGAAGCCAATAACCATAATATATTTTTTTATTTTAACTTTGCAAAGTTAATTACTGAAAAAGATAAACTATCCTTCATTGTCATTTCCCTACCAATGTTCACATTTGCGCCACCCTCTTGTAATTTCAGGAGATATACGTAGACACATTGTTACGGTTTCACTTCAAGTCATATTAAACTAATAGGAGTTTTAACTTAAAAATGTTAAGGTTTATTGTAGGTCTTTCTACAAATAACAAGAAAATTATGTAAATATGTGGCTCGTATATGCATATTCTCACATACACAAAGGGGATATAAAGCCTAACTTTAATATTTCATCAAAATTTTAATTAAGGGGTAGAACAATATAGCACTTAAGCGCTGTATATATTTCCTTAAAGTAGATTTTTTTTTGTATTTTTGATACACTAGTACAAAATTATAATTAAAGAATACACTATTATAAAAGAGAGAAGATTGAAATTATGATTTTAAGACTTTTCTTGACACAAAATTTTAATAAGCTCATGACAAAACAAAATTTGACTGTCTTAATGTTATGGTCATGCCAATGGTATGGACAAAAAGCTCGTCATCTTTATGTAGAGTAGCTTCTCCTGCTCAAATATTCATCAAAGTTCATCACTGACTCTGAAAAATTTGGTAAAAGCCCTAACTATTCTGGAAGTAAACAAGCAAATTTTGGAGGAAGTAGCAGAATACCCCGAAGTAAAGTTGGTCAACACGTATTTAAGGTAGATCTAAGCAACACATTTTTACGAAAATTTTAACACCCTGTACCTCGAGCGAAAAGGAGCGTCTCGAGATTTTTCTTTTTAAGGGGTCCGAGGGAAGTGAGGTGCGCAGGGGGGTCCTATGCTTTTCTTATGGGATAAAACCCGCTGCCAATTTGAAAAATTAAATTCTATTGAAATTATTTGCGATAAACATTATCTATATAGCAAAGAAATTACTCATATGCACATAGCATACATATTGACTAATTAACAACATAAAAATATCATATTTAAGTAGTTTTAAATTATATTTAATGAACGCATAAAGACTATGTAGATGTGGCAACAGCGCTAATAATTGACTAGCAGTTGTACACACTGCGAACGTACAGACCTCGGACATCGGAGATATTGCACGTCAAATTCGGGTAAAGATGCGTACGCGTTCAAAAATGTATTGTGTGTAAACTATGTACAATATAATTATTATATATAGGAAATATATCGTATTATCCTCGCGAAGATTTGTATCCTTTATTTAAAATCCGTAAATCATGTGAACTGGTAAAACAACGAGAATTATGTTAATTTAGTTCTAAAGAAATGAAATGACACTCGCGCCCATCTCTCGTCCAAGTCAAAGAAACTGTTGGATGCAATTTTGAAGGTTCTGTGATAGAAATTACATTATTACTCACTGTTCTTAATCTCTATTTAAGTAATGTTAGAAAAGTTTTGCAACTATAACTAATTTTTTAGATATAAAGTTTGCTGAGAAATATTTATGTTCCTTTGTTATTCCGTACAAATGCTTTTATCTCAAGTAGGTATTACTAATTATATTAATCAAGTAAAGAAAACTTTATATAACCCTAAACATTGCTGGGTAATGATTACGACGTTTTTATAAACCATTAAATATATTAAAAGGATTTATCAACTGTATTTTTTATTCCAATAAATATATCACAGCTTCCTAGTCTTTTTTAATTAATCTAGTTTTTAAAAAGTCATTTGTTGTGGATAATTTATTGTTGATAACAATGTACATGGGATTTAGGAAAAATGTATATGTTTGAAATCAATTTCGTTTTTATAAAGTCTTTCAAATGTATTCCCTATTTGCTGTCAGCTGATTGCGACGTTGCCACATTAATCCTCAAGTCAGATAGAAATGTAATTATTGGTTTCTGTTTCTAATGAATACAGCTGTACTATGTTCAAAACTTACATTAGTTTTACATCAAAAATAAGATAATACTGTGTACTATCTATGGAAAAGTTTTGTTTCACAATTTCTACATTTTTTTCTCAGTTATGGACAAAAAAAAGAGCCGCACCGTCCATCTTCGCCATATAAACCTATGTTAAAATGAAAAACTTTCAACAACAATATCTCAAAATTTAGATTAAAAAAAAATACAAAAAAATATGACGCACAGAGGGAGCACTGGGCAATACGCTATATAAATTTCAAGTACATCTGTGCATTTGAGTAAAATATTTTAAAGTCTGGAGCGATTGTCAAAAAAATAATGATTCTGGTAATTAGAGGATCTTTATTCTTAATTTTTGAGTCTTTGCTGCATTGTGAAACAATTTTTTCTAGTTAAATATCTAATATTATCTTCAAAACTCAGTTCATCGAGCCGTTTCTGCTGCTCTAAGTATATGCTTCACACCGTATATTATTTTGGTTATAATCGATGTAATAATGGATACTATTCGCCGGTCGTCAACGTGGACGTCCTCAGTAAACATCGAATAACATTCTAATAGCAAATAATAATGACGCCCAGATTTGCACATAGTGTAAACCATGTGAGCACGTACCGATT